AACCAAAATAGACTAAATTATAGTATGAAAAACGATCTCAAATCATAATACAAACATATTTCTCAGATCCTCCAAACAATTAGGGATACTTTTCAATTCATCAAATACCATTTCTTCACCGATATTACATTTTTTTTATGCTAAAGTTGGCAACCGAGCAGACGGCCTATGTAATGGAGGTAGCAACGTCGCCCATGGACATCTAACTTAAATTTGCGAATATGTTGCCACCCTGGACTGGGAAGGAGAGAGGAAAAGGTGGGAAAGGGAGGGAAAGGAAAGGGTGGGAAAAGGGAAAGAGTAACCGGCTCTCTCACTCTTCGGAGGAAACGAAGCCATTAAAGACTATACTTCCCGCCGATCTTCTGTAAGGGGGTGGTATTTCCCTGGTCAAGCCAACCCATGTTCGAGCTGCGGTAATTTGACCACAGCTAGACTCTACCACCTAAAAGTTAATAAGAAATGACAAGAATTTATAATGATTGGAAGCCGTATCACAAAATGAAAAAAATACATTTGATAAGATATCTAAGATTTGTGATTGCAAATGTTACTAATCTTGAAAATATTATCGGTTTTGTCTCTATGCCCTTGTCGAGGTCAGTGACTCGACGATTTTGACGTTGTTGTATTTTCATTCATTTGTTGCTGTATTAATGTTGTTGTTATATTAGAAAGACATTATTTTTATTATTAGATAGTATACAATTATAACAACAGATATTTGTTAAATTGTTAATCAAATCCAGTACTACTTTGGATATTACAATATTCAATTACCAATAAAGTAATATTTATATAAATACTTGAAATAAAATTTCAATAAAAAAAAATGGTATGAAAAATTCAAGAGCGTGAACGAACAGTTTACTCTACTCACTTACAGATAAAAGTAACGCGATGTAAGGAAAATATATTTATTGTAATAAAATCCCCAAAATTTTAATTGAAAGAAGTTCCATATAAAGATATAGCGAAGACAATAAATTTAGTTACACAAGTATCACTGGGTCAGATGGTGTTTCAGTAAAAGTGGAAAATCTTAATCATTGTTTTAATCGTGATCGATGTTATTCCTTAGCATCCATATCTTATATAGTCAATAATTATTTGAAAAGCAAATAATATCAATTGTATGGAAAAAGGATATCACAAAACCGGTATCTAAAAATTCAAGGACACATATTTTCTTAAACGTGAAACCTATTGGTATCAACCAATTTTGTCTAAAAAAAACCTTCAAAACCATAATCAAGGAACTTATCTCAGAAATAAAGACTAGCCTTGCTTCGTAGTCAGCAATGTGTGAATGCACTATGTACAAAATAATCAATTACATCCGATTTGACAAACCACAGATCGTGGTTAAAGAAGATAGAGATTTACCTCTTTTTTCTGCTTAAGGGACAACGAGCATAGGGCCTGCTCTATAGGACTTACCGTCACCCATAAACATCTGCAACATTGTGTTACTGATGGGTTGGAGCCCTTGAGGTGAAGAGAAGGGTAGAAGGGTGCCGATGGTCCAATATGTAATATTTTCACGATATACATCAATCCAAGCTAAAGCTTTCACGAAGAAAGAAATTATACACTTAGAAATCCTCAAAAACCAACTATTCTAAAATTATACTACTATTAAAATCTAAATACAATTATTAAATTTATTTTTTATTTCAAGTTGCAGTCGATTGTTTTGAAACGACTTCAAAAAATAAAAGCTCAGATTACTTAATTTGATGGTACATTGTTTGTCTCCAAGGACTTCCTCCATTATAATTTATGTATTCTTGTTGTTTATGTTTCTTTTTGTTGAAAGGGAGTTATCTTAAGGATAATACCATGCTAAGAATTCATTCTTATGCTTATTAAATACCGTTGGTTAGAAACTCTACCTCTACAGAAAAATCATTCACCAATTTAAAGATTATCTGTACTATTCTAACGAAGATGACTAAAATTAGGCTACTGTTACACATGCTTATTTCAAGCATCAAAACAAGCTTTAATTGAGCACGTGCTGTTTACTAGCATGTGTGTCCATGTGTCGCTCAAAATAAGCATGCTTATTTGGATAAGCATACTTATAGCGGCGTCGGTGTAACGGGTCGTGCTTTAAGAACAAATAAACACGTTTGCTTATTAAGCATGCTAGTGCCGATCAGTTAATTGCCACAGATAAAACTTCGTCAGCTGGTATTTCTCTTAGTAGTTGAGCACAAGTCCTGTCTTCTCGATATCCAATTACGGACTCAAATCATTATCTTTCTTTTCTTTTTTTGGCTACCTGATATAAGCTTCTTGATGCATTGCATCGCCAGCGAAAGGATGATCTTATCCATCTCCATTATCCATAACTTGGAACTCACAGAGAGCGACAAAAGCATGGATTAAAAAACCATGTGTATCTGGAATGTTTGCTTTAAGCATGCTTATTCTGGAGCATGGCTAAAACAAGCATGCTTATTGCCCGCAAATGTGAACTCCTGCCAGGCATGCTTGAATTATGCATGCTTTTTAGCATGCTTATTTAAAGCACGTGTACCTAACTGTAGCCCTAGAGTCTTTAAGAAAACAAAGTCCAAAATACCTTCGAAACAAAGGCATTTCCACCATACCGCCACGACAATTATTAAATAAATTAGAAAAAGTGGAGCATCACACGAAAATACATAAATAGCTTTACCAACTTTCTGCCAATGCGTCCAGTATCTAATTTCATTTAATTTAAATATTTTTTATTTATTTAAATAATATTTTTTAAAGAAAGTAAATAACTAAATTATTATTAGTTAAATTACGTAAATATCTTAAATAGACATCATATTTTACTGATTCCATATAAGAAATAAGTAAAATGTGCAATAAATAGATATGTGATTTTACTTGCAATATTATAATTTTATATTCACATCTCGTCTGTCCTTGAAACGTTGGGAGTATGTACCACATATTTACAATAATAAAATACGCGTAGTATAATGCGAAAAATATTAGTAACATTTAAATTATATATCGTCACCGGAGTTCAAATATTAACGGCTATACTATGTATAAATCAGTCCAACGCTTTGTTTAACGATGTAATAATACGATTGTTCCTAAATGTGATCACAAGCACATTAAGTAATGTTTAAACTATTGTTTACTCTCCAAGTGATATATTACTAGTTGAACGCCATAATTGCATCCTGAGTGACGTTAGTTCAGTTAAATATTGTACATTACGGTAAGCATGTTTATTAATAAAATGCTTTGCTGGTTTTGAATCAACTGAACTGTTTTATTTCAATTACTCATTCGTTCCTTCAACAGATTATACATTCATTTACTTAGGAATGACCATAGATAGCGCTGCTGGACATAATATGTGAATTTTTGTTACAATTATTTAACACCCTGACCTAACAAAATAAACTAAATTTCAAAAAACAAAAGTATACAGTAGTTGTAATCAAATATACTACACTTTATATGTAACTACACTTTAGAAATACCCATTAAACTTAAAAACTTGTAATGTTTATCTTTACATACACTTTTGGTCAATATATCAGCTGGCATATTATTTGTTGACACATATTCAATTTTAACTTTATTTTCTAAAACACATTCTCTTACATAGTGGTGTCTAATATCTATATGTTTAGTGCGCTTGTTGTGAAACAATGAATTAGAAGCTAATTTAATCGAGCTTTGGTTATCACTATACAAATGCAGTGGCATATCTATATATTGTATAAGCTCTTTTAGTAAGTTCATTAAATAAATGCCTTCCTTACAAGATTCAGATAAGGCCATGTATTCTGCTTCTGTACTAGATAGTGCTACAGTTTTCTGTTTCTTAGATTCATAGGACACTACAGAATTTGACATTAGAAAGCAAAATCCAGTATATGACCTTCTATCAAGTGAACAAGAAGCCCAATCTGCATCTACAAAGCCATGCATATTACAATTGGTTTTCTTATATACAAGACCATAATCTCTAGTACCTTTCAAATACTTTAATAAACGTTTTAAATGCTTCCAATGTGTTTCATTGAAACAATTATTGTATTGACTTAAGAAGCCTACACTAAATGCAATGTCTGGTCTGGTAAGTACTGACAAATACATTAAACTACCTATTAATTGTTGGTATGGATAATTTTTATTCAAACTATTATTCATATTCTTTTCCAGCTTCAAATTAATTTCCATAGGAGTATCACAAGATGAGCAATCTGACATATTAAATCTCTTAAGAATAATATCTATATACTGCTTCTGGTCTACAGTAATACTGTCTTTGTACACATTTATATTCATACCGAGACACTGTTTCAACTGACCTAAATCTTTGATCCTAAATTTTTCAACTAACTCATTTAGTAATAGTGTATATTCATTCTGACAATCAAAGAAAACAAAAAAATCATCTACAAACAGAGCAATATATACTTTAACACTTTTATAACTTTTTATAAAAAGACAAGGTTCATAATCAGATTTTCTATAGCCTAACTTTAACAAACAATCCTCAACTCTAACATACCAAGCACGTGCTGATTGTTTTAGACCATAAATTGCTCTTTTGAGCATTAGAACTTTGTTATTACAATTATTAAATTCTGAACATTCTGGTACTTCCATGTACACAGTTTCTTTTAAAACTCCATTTAGAAAGGCTGTTGGAACATCAAGATGGTTCATACATAAATCTAATTGAACACTTAAAGCTAATAACAATCTAAATGTAGAATATCTTAAAACTGGTGAAAAAGTTTCATCAAAGTCAATACCCTTTTTCTGGGTAAAACCTTTGGCCACAAGCCTGGCCCTGTAGCGCACTTCACCATCACTGTTAAGTTTCTTTTTAAACACCCACTTAGCTTTGACCACAGTTTTGTCTTTTGGCCTATCCACAAGCTCCCAAGTGTCATTATCACTAAAAGATTTTAACTCTTCCCTTATTGCACACTGCCATTGTTCTTTTTCTGAACTATTTAACACATCACTAATAGTGAGCTCTTCACCCGCTATTTCCACACACATGCTTGCTTTTTCAGGCAAATTAGTGTCACATTGCGTGGGGAGGACATCCAGGTCATCTGGTGATAAAGTATCACAGTAACTATCATCAGTGTCATTAGAAGATTCATTCGGTATGAATGTCTCATCCATCGGGTTGTCACTGGTATCCTGTTCCTCACTAACAGAGTCGTGTTCCTCTTCTGCTTCTTTGGGTGGTCTGCTCTCATCAATAGTGATGGTTGTCGCGGAGCTGTCATCTGTGTTCTCCATGACCACGACATCTCTGGCTGTAATAACATCTCGTGCTTCTGGATCATATAAACGATAGCCCTTGATACTCTCAGAATACCCAACTAGGAACATCTTCTTCGCTTTCTTGTCCCATTTCTTGCGTTTTTCTTTAGGGACATGTACCATGACTGGGCTGCCAAATACACGCAGATGATCCAACTTTGGCTTTCTGCCCGTCCATATTTCATAAGGAGTTGTCTTGTGACCGATACCTGCAGCTGGTACACGATTTAGTATGTACACTGTCATATGTACGGCCTCTGCCCACAGGTTCTTCTGAAATTGAGCATCAAATAGGAGACAGCGAGCTTTTTCAACTATGGATCTGTTATATCGTTCACACAATCCATTCTGCTCCGGGGTGTAACTATTTGTTTTCTCATGTACTATGCCACACTGCCTTAAGTAGTTCTCCATTTCCTTTGAACAGAATTCACCTCCATTATCAGACCTTAGTATTTTAATCCGTTTTGACTGTTGAGTCTCCACAAACTGTTTATATTGTTTGAAATATTTGAAGGTTTCATTCTTCTCTCGTAGAAAATAGACAGTGCACATCCTGCTATAGTCATCGACAAATAATAAGAAGTATCTAGCTTTACCTAGTGACACGATCTCCATTGGTCCACATAAGTCTGTATGGACCAAATCCAGGACTCCTCTACTCTTGGTTGCACTGTGAGGAAATGGAAGTCTTGTTTGTTTCCCTTCACAGCAAACTGTGCAACTATTCTTGCTGATGTCACACTTGTCACTGTAGCTAACACCTTCAACTGCTCCATTCTTCAATTTCTGCATATCAGTGGCATTTAAATGTGCAAGTCGCCTGTGCCATGTTGAGCTTGATACATTCACTGATTCTGCAAATGTCACCTCAGTTTTCACATGTAATTTGTATACACCATTTTCCAATGTAGCTACACCAATACATTCATTCTGTAAGTTGTATATTGAACATCCATTTTGGTGAAATTCAACTCTATTCCCGTTGGCAATTATTCTACTCACTGATAGTAAATTAGTCGTCAGGTTAGGTACATACAAAACATTGTTCACGATTATGTTGTGGTTCTGATTACCGACACACGTCGTAATCTCCAAATCCCCTGAACATTCAACAGGCACTATCGTTTTATTCGCCACGATAATCTCCTTAATCTTCGGTTGAAAACAAATATTTGACAGCAAATTCTTGTTGGAAACCAAATGAGTACTTGCGCCGGAATCCAAGTGCCAGTCGGTTTGACTAAATCCTTTTGTGAGAAATACACTAAATGCATTCGTTTTTACTTTTTCTGTGTGAGGACATCGATTTTTAAAATGTCCAATCTGCTTGCACTTGTAACAACGAATTATTTTATTTCTCGCCGATGCACTACTATTGCCGCCATCACTGACATTGACAGTTGACGGATTCGTTCTGTTTCCGTTCATTCTATTGCCGCCGTAAGTGCCGCCGCCGCCATTTTTATGACTTTGAAAATGCCTTTTGGCAATAAATGCACCTTCCGATTTCACTTCAATACTCATATCCAACAGTTTTGTTTTAATAGCGTCCGCGCTCATGTTAATACCTGAATGTTCTATTGCCATTATCATAGGTTCTAATTTCTCAGGCAATCCGGCTAACATTAACGATGCTATCCACTGGTCATTTATTTCGAAACCAGTTCCTTGCAATTTCTGTGCGGTTTCCATAAGCTGGCTGACATAGCTGGTCATTGAATCGCAGTCTTCTAGGCGTATACTGATGAGGTTTCTAAGCAAACTGATTCTACGTGAATATCCAGAATCGTCGAACATATTCTTCAAGGTTCTCCATAATTCATATGTCGTTGCACATTGCTTTATATGGACATATAAAGATGCGTCGATTGTTAGCACTAGTTTTGCTTTTGCCTTCATATCGTCTGCTTTCTGAATCGATGTAGCCGTTTCTGCTAATGGCGCCTTGATAGCGTCCGCCATGCCTTCGAGTACTAGCACATTTTCCGCCGCGAAGCACCAGTCGTCATAATTTTCACGACCTTTCAACTTCGGTATATTTGCTAAATAGTTCGTCGACATTTTTAATACTAACTGCACGGATAGATCAATTAAAACTTATTTTTTTTGCGAACGCTGGGCCCATAACCTAATAAAATGCTTTGCTGGTTTTGAATCAACTGAACTGTTTTATTTCAATTACTCATTCGTTCCTTCAACAGATTATACATTCATTTACTTAGGAATGACCATAGATAGCGCTGCTGGACATAATATGTGAATTTTTGTTACAATTATTTAACATTTATTATATCTGTTATTCATAAATTTTGCAGTAAATCCATAAATACTTCTATTGAATGAACTAAAAAAATCATAAATTAGGTTTACTTCAGAATAAATAACTTTAAATCGTATAAAAAATATAAAATTTGCTAACGCTATACATTCATTTTTAAAATATATTTAATCTTCGTAGTTAATAAATTTAAATAAATCACGAATATTTAGAAGTACCACAACTAATCAGTTGTAACTTTCGCTGTGAAATATTTTAACACTCAAGGTTTTAGGAATGACAATGTCTTTGAATACAATATAATGACCTATAGAGTGGATTAAAAACCAAACCCCTGCAATAAAAAATGCTTTATTATTTTATTTCAATTACATTGACACATTATAAAATAATAACAATAGATTGAAATAGTCTTTGTGCTTACAGATAATGTTATTTATTTAAAGAATGATAATAGTATTTTGTTTACAGATCCTGCAATAATGGCTGACTGTGAAGATATATTATATGATTGTCTCAAAACGGTTGCAGAGGAACAAAATTATGGTAACTATACAATAACCACAAAAGCTGTATCTAGCGGTGGAGGAAACTACACCAGTGCTCTGTATCTTGCTACTATTCAAGCTCCAGGGAAAGATGATCTCAAGTTGTTCGCAAAAGTTGCTGGGGTTGGAGAAAAAATGAGAGCAATAGAACCTCACAAGATCTACCAAACGGAAAGCCTTTTTTACAATTATATACTTAAGAAATACAAGGAATTGGAGGAGAGAAATAATGTTCCCGCTGAATATAGATTTGTGACTCCAAAATACTATGGTGGATCTGATGAATATTTAAAAGAAACCTTCATTTTTGATGACCTTACTGCTAAAGGCTTTATGACGTATGATAGATTCAAACCGATAGATTGGGAATACGCTTCCAAAGGCTTAGAAAATCTAGCAAGATTCCACGCACTTTCAATTGCTTTTTCCGTAGACGAGCCAGAAGAATTTGAGGGTATTAATATTTTCAAAGATCACAGTGACATTGAAAAAGTAGTACATTTTTTAAAAAATATAATTAAAAATGCGGTTCAAGTCACGAGGGAAGAAAATCGCGATCGATTTGCAAACTTTCTGAATGCTTTCGTGGATAATAATGACTTTAATAAATTTTGCCCACCTTTCCGACGACCGGTGATTAACCATGGCGACTACAGGTCCAGCAACTTGATGCACAGAACTAAAGTAAGTTTAAACTTTATCGAACCCTATTTGTAATATACTAACAACTAACAACCTTACCCAAAATCGGCTTTTTAATTGATCAAATAGTTAGAACTCTTAATTTTAATCCTTTATTGATTCTTAATCTATTCTGGGCAATTATTCTCCCAATTTAAATACGAGTATCACATAGGTGGTCGTTTATAAAAAAGATCATTCTATTACTATAAAAGAATTTTGTCTTAGATTTTACCGTAATTTATTTGTTTCATTTGTTTATAATTAATATATTGGATTGCTATTTCTTTTCATATTGGTTCTTCCTTTCATCTTTTCCCGACTTTTCCTTAATTGATCTTAAACTGGCAATCATAATTTTTTTCCCACTAATATTTTAATGATAAAGTTGTAAGGTATTAATATTACTTTATGTTATATTATAATATAGTAATATTAATAATTATTATTAATATTACTTTATGTTTGAAAAAATATCTTATTATATAGGGTACGTTTCACAGCCGCTAGAGGCTCCAGGAAAACTATTAAACTTCTTAATATGTTTAGTATAATTAGAATTACATTTTAAAATGAACAACCTATACCAAAAACTACATAATTGCCCTGATGTCAGGATAGGTATGCCATTGTATTGCTTGTACTATATCAACAATATTCATGTTAATGAGGCCAGGCGTTACTTTCGCGGTGTCAGCAACGTCACTTCTAATATGATATTTTATCTATACAACGATATTCATTAAATTAAATATGTTGTTCATATGTGACAATCTATTAAATAAAGAGCACTATTTTGGTATAATAACAATTAATTTAATTATGATAAAGAGATAACAATGATACATTGTGTAAAGATAATACATTTGTTCTCTGTATCAAATAATAAATGTATTTAAACTTCAATTTATCGCAAAACAAACAATAAAATATAATTTTAAAGCTAGTCATTGTGAAGAGATTAAACTGATCAAACATTATCTTATCTTATATGTGTTTGACTTCAATTCAAATAATAATTTTTCACTTTCAGGACGGAGTATTGGAATTGATATCAGTGGATTACCAGAAGCTACAAATAGGGAACCCGATTGTTGATATCTTGTTCTTCATTTTGAACGGTTCAGACAAGAAATTCCGGGATCAGTACTTCAAGAAGGCCTTTGATTATTACTACGATGAGTTATGTAAGGCTCTCAAGAGATTTGGTCTTGATCCGGAGGGATTGTACTCGAGGGAGGAATTCGACATTGAAGTTCAAAAGGTAGTTACTATAACAAGACTCATATCATTTGTAGAACATCAAATATACTATTATAATGTGTTTCTTAACTTATAAACAAACAGAGGGACACATAATAATACTGTTATTTACCAGGTACTTCCATTGGGTCTGGTTCAAGCTACCTTCTGTTTGCTGATAGTGACTGTTGAGACAGATGAAGCTCCGCAGGTGAGCGAGGACATCACCATCGAAGACTTCGTTGTAAACCCAAACACTCTGTACGCGGAAAGACTTAATGATATCGTTGACGATTATATTAAAATGGGAATTATTTGAGAATGATTTCAAACGATAATGAAAGTGATTAAATAATTCATATTTTGAATGATTATAACCAATAATACATATATTTTTATACTTATATATATTTTAATATTGTTAGATTTCGATACTAATTTTAGCTTGTAATAAAAACTCATTTTTATTAAGCCTGTATTTAAAAAAAAATGTAATAATTTCAATTTTTAATCAATGCATTATTATTTCAGTATGAAAACAGTTTGTAGTTACTATTTGATTTTCTTTTCATTTTAGAACTTAACAAAGGGTAAGCGCTCGAAAAAAATATGAATTAAGTATGTAAATGTTTTTTGCTACATCAAATTTCAAAATTTTCTTTAAGAATTATTCATTTAAAGACTTCATTAAGCAGGATCCCCTCTTGATATTCGAATTCATAAAAATGTATTCATCAATAATAGTAGCAATAAGTAAACATTTAGAATATATACAACATAAACACTATAACAAAAATAGATTAAATATTCCATTATCAATTTATATGCAATAATATTCATAGCACACAACAGACATTCATTATTATTATTCCATACAACACTATAGATATATTGTATTAAAAATTCAACGCAATACTTGTCCGCGTATTTAAGAAGTATACAAACCTTAATTTAATAAATCTTAAGTTATATCTCCGTGTGTTTTCATAGTTATTTAATCACATCAGTTTATGATAGATATTATTTGACTTCTCAGAGTTTAAAGTGGTTAATAAAGATAGTAGTTCAATCATTTCAATGATCCCTATAGATGCCCGAAACTCTTTGTCTATCTTAGACATTTATCACTGTAGTGTAGATCAAAAGGAATGCTTTCTCCTTTCATTTCAAGTTAACTATCACGTAGACTCTCTTCATAGAGTCAGGACCCAAGGAATAAGTAAAGCACAAGAGGTTGCCATAACTTTGTTGCAACAAAGTATATCTTTCAGTCAGAGACAGAATTTATAATGTAGAACATAAGATGAAAAAATAATCTATGCTCAAGTATGATTTGTACAGTACTAGCTACCTGTCCCGGCATCGCAGTGTTTCTTTATAAAATAGTCCATGTTAAGTCAAATCGGTCGAGTACATAAAAATTTTATTATCTTTCTCAGTTAAACATATTTTAAGTTTAAACGAAGAAATGCTGTATTTGTATGGTCATAACAATTTGTTAATACGTATTTATAAAATACAATATGTCTTTGTGTACGACATTAATGATTTGTTTAAAAACTGTTTTCAAATAAAAAAAAACAACAGGAACCAGGAACTAAAAAGCAAACAATAATTGTACACTCAAATACTTTTTCTTGACCTAACCTAACCTATTCAATAATAAATAATAAATATCTTCGCAAAAATTTACTAAACACCTAATGTAAATAAACGAACACTACTTTTATCTATCTTCCGATTATCTTATTAATTACTGAACTAAACGTATACAATTTCTTTATATCTAATCACATTTTGAAGTCAATGCCTTCTACAGAATATTAACTTTATATTAATAAAAATTCTGTGATATTTCATAAAAAAAGTAATATCTCGCCGAATATTACAAACTTTTTTAGGTGGTAGAGCCACTAGGCTACATGTTACTGTAGCTTGAACATGGGGAACCCAGCAGGGAAGTACCATCCTCTCACAGAAGATCGGCATGAAGTAGCCTGTAATAGCTGCCTTTTGCCAGATAGGTGAGAGAGCCGGTTGTACTTTCCTTTTTACCTCCATTTCCAACTTTTTCCTCCCCCTTTTCCATAATCAAGGTTAGCGACACATCTGCAACATCTGTTATGTTACGTATGTCATTGGACGACGGTATTACCTCCATCAGGTAGGCCGTCTGCTCGGTTGCTCCCTTTAACTTAAAAAAAAGACTGGATGCTTTGAAAAAATATTTACAAATATTACGGAATATTTATAACGACCGGGTGACCTTAACCCATCTCTAATTAATTTTATGAATTAATTGAATAATAACTATAACACACCTCGTTTGAAATAAAGCTATTAATATATTAATTATAGACTGAGATGATTATCAGGAAGAACACGTCCTTATTCTCTTGCTCTTGACACTGGTTGAATTTAAGAATTTACAACAAAGTATAGAGGAGAACAGAGAAATATAGGCCAATGTTTCTCGAACATCAGTAAAAAAGTTATAAATATATTTATCGTTACTTCAAAATTAACAAAATTTAGGACCATCTTTTACAAGTTTTTGTTAAATAAAGTTTACTTATTAAAATTTTGAACACAGCAATCATTTCAAAAGTCAGTACATAAATGCAAATTAAGAAAAAAAGTTAAAAGAAACATTCGAAATCTATATTCTACCCTTCTTTTAACCTTTACAATTTTTTTCTAATCGCTTACGGAGATCATCAAACACATATTTTAATACAGAAAATTTCAACTCCAACTAGTCTAGTCTTTAGGAATAGTAGGGACAGGTATAAGGAGAATTCGACTTATATATTGCATACTTTACCAGTGAACCAGTGTCTTGTTCTACAATATTCGAGCTCTTGAAAATGTTTATAACGAACACTAATTATGTAGTACACAGTATTCTACACAGTGTAAAAAGAAAACTAAGCATATTTTTAAAAAATATAATAAATTCTTACATTTTAGTGTTAGAAGTGTATATGATTTTAGTAGTTGATTGCAACTTTAAAAAAACCTTCTCTACCTGCAAGCAAGAATAAATTTTCAGATACAACAGGCAGCTGAGTTCTGAAATTCAGTAAATATATCATATTATACCCAAAAATATTTATACTAAACTAGAGAATATGAAGCAAAATTTTTAAATTACTCCAAAAGTGACAATGTTCTTATGAGTCATTACAGTGCTATGAAAAGCTAAGATGAAATATATGAACATACTCGGATGTTTATAAAATAAAGGTATATTATTACTCTGAGTATTACTGCTTTTAACAATGCGAATTAAATTTGTCTTAAAATATATTTAAGAATTGTAATAATAAAAAGTGGCTTATTTTGTATTAGCACATGTTAGTACACATAAATAGTTATTTTATGTCCGTGGTTTTGAACCAACATTTCCGTTTGTTATTTTGTAAATTACTGGATTTTATAAAAAAAATTATAATCACGTATTTTATGTAGAAACGTTTATTTTACTGGTCCATTTAGAATTATTAAGCGGGATCATTTATTAGTTTTTAACGAATGTTTAAGGTGTGTCATTTCACATCATCGTAAATTTTTCTCTTGAAAAAAATAATAATCTAGTAACACTATATTTATAAACATAACTATATTCTATAACATAAAAGAAATCTATAATCAAACAGTCTGAATATGTTTAAAATGAAACAATAAAATATAAAAATATTTCATTCTTAACACCAATTAACTAGCTACATCGATTCTATGCTGGCAAAGAAAAAAGATCGTGAAAGAAGTCCTTATGATTGTAATGAACTCCTGTATATAGTCGCTAGGGTTTGTCTCAATTTGTTAGCCCTGTTTTCTTATTGATGTTCTTAATATGTCACTATTTCACTATTTCATAAAACAGAAACAATAATGTACAGTATATCTTATATTTAAGCGCCGCTGGTGCAGCTGTTTTATTTTTTTTTTCAATTTTCCCTTTAATTTTGACAAGTCCATTCAGTAAATGTAAATAACTGGAGAGTATGTGGGTAATTTTAATAATTACAAAATTAAATTTGTAGAAAAAGTCCTAAGTTAATATAATACTCTTCTATTTTTAAACTTCTTGCACATCAGGCTTGAATTTCTCCTTACTTTAAGATACGGTGTGGACAAAGACACTTTCACTAATAATAAATATAGACTAGAATTTTTGATTCCATTTATTCAACTTTAATTATTTATTCAATTGTAAAGTACAATCTTAAAAACATAAGTATGGAAGAAAATCATTCTTTAACAATTGTTACTTTTAGATCATAGCATAGTCGAAGTGTGTAGTAAGTGGTGATATTTATTCCACTGGCTATAATATGAGTTTGATATTTGAAATTTGTGTTAGGTAGAAGGTAATTCTAATCGAACAAAATGATAAAAGCGAGTAAGAGCCATAAACCCATAACCTACACAAGTACTTACAACCTCCTCTGAAATAGTAATTAATTTAAATGCAAATAATGAGGAAGTTCGATAAAAAATCAATTTATAAACAGGTATTTTATTACAATTATTTTAAAATGTTATACCTATTTCATTTACATGATTATCTAAATATTTTGTTTGTGAATTTCTAATGTGATATGAATTAAAACCTGTTTGGTATATTCAATAAAAAAATAAACACAAGAGATTAACATTGTCGAAGAATAAGACTTCACTTACTGTATTCAAGGGAACTAATAACTTGTGCCACATTTTGTATTTATAGTTTTTTACACATTTAATTTTAAAAAATAGTAATCTGAAAAAAAATTACTGTAATTCGGTAACAAAATAATCTATAATATGTATGTAACCAAGCTCGCTGAATAAATAAAGGATATTAAATGTACATATTAATTATTAAGATATATACCTAATTAATTTATTCATTATAAATAGTAGATAGCTATTCATTATAACGTCTCCAAACAAAAAATATTGATACATACTGGTATATTAGGAACTAAACTAAAGACTTAGACCTTTAAGTTATTAGACGAGCAGTTGTAAGGTATTCAGCGAAACAGTCGTTTTATAAAAAATCAGGCATAGTAAAAGGATTAACCAGCACCTTTACCGCGACAATAAGGACATATTGACCGGGAAATTCTTTTAAAGATAAGGTAACTCTGAGTGATCATTTGTATTTCAAAATAAAAGTCAATTCCCCTAATTATATAGATAATTATAAAAATATTCTTTTGATAATATCTTTCTAACTCTACATATGCCTAATTCATAAAAATCATTTAGAAAAACTTAGTAGCAAGTTATATTTTAAGAGATTTGATTGATCGATAAAGTTGATTACAGTTTAAGAAAAATGGAAAATAATTTCGATTTCTTGTTACTTCATATTATAGTATTCTTATGAACAAGCTGCCACACAAATCTCAAAGTTAACAAATTAAAAATGTCTTTTAAAAGTATTTAGGGTAAAATAGTATTTTTCACTTGCAGAATACTATTGTCAAAATAATCAATAATGGAGAAGAGCAAAGATATATTACAAAAAAGTCTGCAGAACATCGCCAATGAACAAAATTACGATAATTGTCAAATAACCATAAAAGATATTGCGAGTGATGGAGATAATTATACTAGCTACTTGTATAAGGTTACTCTGCAATCACCAGGAAAGAAAGATTTAAAATTGTTCGCAAAAGTAGCTGCACTTGGACAAAACATAAGAATTCTCACACCTTTCTTTAAAAAGGAACACTTTTTTTACAATACTCTGCTTAGAAAATATAAAGAATTAGAAGATAAAAACAACGTTCCCATTGCACACAGACTTATCACGCCTTATTTTTACGGTGGATCGGAGGAACTTTTAAAAGAAACACTTATCCTTGAAGATTTAACAGCCAAGGGCTTCACACAATACGATAGATTAAAGTCAATAAATTGGGATTACGCTTCAAAAAGTTTGGAAAATCTTGCAAAATTCCACGCGCTGTCTATTGCTTTATCTGAAGATGATCCTGAGTATTTTCAGAATATAGATATTTTAAAACTGAAAACTGAATATTCAACAGTAGCAGATATGATAAAATCAGCAATAAATACCACACTTCCAGTAATCAGGGAAGAGAATCGCGCCATATTAAAAAAATATTTGGAATCAGAAACACAAAAGATGGAGAAAAATCCTTACGATCGAATTTGTCGTCGTCCCGTTATCATCCATGGAGATCACAAACCAAGCAATATAATGTACAGAATCGTTGTAAGTATTTAGTTATTTTGCTATTATTTTAAATTCATACTATTAGGCATAATTATCAATTTGATTAATATGTACAATACATTATACAATCAATTCATAATTTAAACTTTAGAAGCAAACCTTCCAAGATATCAGTACAAATGAAAAGTTATGCTGTATCACCATTGCAAATAAAAAAATATTACAATTTTAAAAAGTCTTCGAAAGAAAACGAGATAAAACAAACTAGCTGAAACGTTTATATTATTTTTGTTTATTATTTCTAGGATGGAGAACTGGAAGTTATCACCTTGGACTTTCAATTGATTAGCATCGGAAACCCCATAGTTGATATATTGTATGTCATCTACTTGGGTTCAGATAAAAAATTCCGAGACCAATACTTTAAGCCATGCTTGAAACATTATTACGAGGAATTGTGTAAAGCTCTCAAGAGATTGGGAGTTGACCCTGAAAAGGTGTATTCCAAAGAGGATTTTGATTTTGAAGTAAAAGAGGTACAGTTGATAAAATCTAAACACAGCCTAATAAAATAAATTACATTATCTTGATAAAAAATTTGAAAACGTCTAAATATCTACACTCTACAGGCACAAGACTTTTTAAATAAGAATAATTGTAAATAAATCGAATAAGCCATAATAAAATCAAGCTCATTAATTGATCGTAACAGTTACCAGACGTACATTACATTAAAATAAACCCTTAGTTCTAACTAGAAAAAATAAAAACTGTTTTTTAAAACCATTATTGTAAAAAAGCATGGCATTTTCAGTTTTCAAGTTAGTTAATATCATGGAAATAAACATTGTCATTTTGACTTTCTTCCTCGAAGATGTCATTCCCTCTGATGACAATGACAAAGTGACTGTCATTGTCATGTCATTCAGGAAAGATAATATCAAAAGTAATAACTAATTATAATAATTAATTTATGGGTATATGCCACCACGGGAAATATTTTTTAACAAAGTATCTTTCTTATACAAAGACTTATGTAGGAAAAAGACTTCTAAGATTTAATAGTTGTCTTAAAAAAATGTAAGTTGAGGTATAATACCAATTTTATTTTATTTTTCAGATTTTACCCTTGGGACTTATACAAAGTATTTGCGCTCTGCCGATGGTAACACTGGACAAGAATGAGGCCTTAGCATTGAGAGAAGACTCCACTTTGGATGACTTAATAGTTAAACCCAATGCTCTCTATATTGAAAGGATTAACGACGTCGTTGATGAATTTATTGAGATGGGGATCATTAGAAAATAAAATTATATCATGTTTTTATTATATTAAATTTTGCAAGCTGATGGGATATTTAAATAATAAAAAAATAACTTTTTACAACTATTGTATACCTGCGAAAAACAATTCATGAATACCAGTCTATCAATATGTTTTTCATTAATCAATAATTCCTACTAATATTATAAATGCGAAAGTAACTCTGTCTGTCTGTCTGTCTGTCTGTTACGCTTTCACGCTTAAACCACTGAACTGATTTTAGTGAAATTTGGTACAGACATAGAGTTGACCTTGAGAAAGAACATGAGATAGTTTTTATACCAGTCTTCTGAAAGGTTCTCTAGGAAACGCAATATAACCGAACTCCACGCGGGCGAAGCTGCGGGCGGAAAGTATTATATTTTTTAAAACCTCATTATGTAACGATTTTTTTTTCCTCTGTATGACTTTTCTTATTGCCAATATGAATGAATATTGAATAACAAAAAAAGGATCAAAAATAAGACTGTTATTGTAACTATTAAATAAAATTCTCTATATGGCGTCAAGTTCTGTGCAAAACTGAGGATTTGTTATGAGACTTAATTTAGAGATTATGTTAATAAAAAAAGCGTAGTTGCCGGAAATTTTAGTTTAATAAATATAAACATTCTATTCACAAAATCTCTATTTGTCTTTCAAACACATCTATTATAAAGGAGATCATTCAGGCTTCATACATTTTTGGGCCTTTTTTGAAAGTGCCGGCCAACAAAAAAAATGGTACATATTGTTAGAACTAACCATTTGGAACAATAGTTAATATGGCGCAAAAGTTGTAGGATCCAAGATATAGAAGTTATACAAGTTTCAATATTCATCATTTTCGTACATTTATTTTTTTCTGAAAGTGCCATGAAACATAAAGTAATGATTGATATTGCTAGAGTTAAGCTTCTCAAGCAAATCATTATAGCAAGAAAGCCATAATCTGTTAGAAACCTGTCGTTTTTATGTATTCCAGATAATGTCCTAATCAACTTTATTATATTAGGTGACTGATTATAATAATTAATATATTTCCATTTAGCTATACATAAACCTGGTAGTTACTTGTGAACTCGTGAAGAACATTTAATTTGCATATTTTATTTTCATAAATTAAGGAGGAGCCCTGATGTTTGCATTGATATTCAAAATGTTCCTCTCTAATTTTAAGGATTTCACAAAAGTATTTTTTAAAATAAACTGCATCTCAAATTAGTATATGTCGTGATTATTAAAAGTAGTTTTTCCGAGTCACGTCTTGGTGAATTGTGAGTATGTCTTTTTGATCAGAAAATAATATATTTTACAAAAAAGTTCACACACAGCAATGATCAAAGATGGGTCGAGTCTACTTTTTTCAATGACAAATGTGCACTTACACTCTGATTAGAAATAATTTTATAAAACTATGATCTTTTCAATTTTACGATGGGCAATAGATTCAATAATAAATAAAATATATTATAGACTAAACCGTGGTTTATTGTGTGTACTTCAGATCGAGAAACAACTTGACTTAGACCAAATACCGACGCGATCAGCAACATCATGTAGTCCGCGGAGTTAATATTATTGACGCAGGGTCTATTTATATCGCAGCTTACCTTAATGCTACTGAGTCCGCCGATGAGATCGCTTACATTCAAGTTGAAGAGTTGCTAGTGAGCTTAAGCCCCCTTTCCTCACCCCACAAACCAAGCTATAAGGATCCGATGATGTCCCGGCCCACCGAATGTTATTAATGGTTTTGTTTTCAATTATGGACACCAATATAGTTCTCATCATATCTTCTGGAAAGTATCTATGACTTAAACAAAAGTTGTATATCTCGCTTAAAACCCTAGATACATAGATGCAGACCTGCAAATCGGAGGTGTTCAATGCTAAGGAGGAGGAGGAGGAGGCCCTCATGAATAGACGACTAGTTTTATTTTTATATTTTGCTCGATAATTTTCGAGTTAAATTATATTAAAATTTTTCTCTTTGTCTCAAAATTAAACACCGTCTTAGTCGTCATACCCAGGGGCGATTTAACCATATACTCTTTTCAGCCTGGGTTTAAAAAAGAAATATAAAATCCCTTAAAAATTACTGCTTAAAAACTTTCAGTTATTATACTTTATATTTTTTTAATGTTACATTTTACAATCCATAACAATACAAATATATAGTGTCTTTAAAAATACATTTTAGTTCTAAAAGCGATGTCTATGCCATAACAAGTATGAACAGAACAGCTTTTGTCTCATAGAACATACTTTGTTGTGGTTGAGAACTACAAGCTGGGTGTAGAGTACACATTCGTGCAGGCGCTGCCAAATGTACACCTTACTGCTTTGAATTTTATATTTTAAATAAAATACTCTGTTTGAATGATATAATTCCCCTATCCTCATTTACTAGAATAGTTTTCTCACTTCGTGCCACTTTGTTTATAGTTGAACCCAACAATTACTATGGAGAACAGGCTCTAATTTTTATGTGGAAATACTAAACAATCTATATCTTAGTCGCATCTCATGTACTATTAGAAAACCAATTTTATTTATATCATACATCCAAAAAATATATAAAGTCATTTCAAAACTCCCTTGAAAAGGAAGGAGAGTGGTAACTGGTGACGCTGTAAAATAAATTTGATCCATATCAGTTTCAACCTGCAGCATATTATAAATATTATATTATGTTTTTGAAAACTTAGATTTAATTTTATATAAGTATTCTATATACCGTTTTGACTTCAAAGTCAAAGTCTTCCCTAGAGTACAATTGTTCAGGGTCCAGATGTAATCTCTTGAGTGCTTTAGACAATTCTTCATAGTAATGATCAAAAGACTGCTTAAAATATTCATCTCGAAATTTTTTATCTGAACCGTTGAAGATGAAGTACAAAATGTCAACTATAGGATTTCCTAGTTGAAGCATCTGGTAATCGACTGAAATTAATTCCAATTTTCCATTCTGAAAATATAAAAATTAAAGTTAAAGCACAAGTCAACAATATGTATATCTAAAATGGAAATTTTGAGCATTTATTATATTTAGGTTACTAAATACTATTACTATTACTATTATTACCTATATGAATTCAGTCTAAAATATAAAAATGATGGAACCATTTCTATAAGTTATTATGTGACGTGCAGGAGGATAATCGCATTATATTTTATAATTTATTTCGTGGTCCTATCATTTCAATGTACAAAGAAATGAAATAAAATGGACATATATTGTTCTCATACAAAATTAATACTTTTTATTTAAAGGATAATGACATGTTTTTATTACTTTTATAGAAGACAACAATTTATACGTTAAGTGAATGAATACCAATTACAATTTACCAATTGAAATCCGACTAATTTTATTGGACAAACTTTATATTTTATAATTCACTAAATTCAATCAGAAAAAGATACTATCATATCCTGATCAGATCAAATAACCGTTAGTCGGTGAATTCCTACTTCTCATTACGAGGCCCTGAAACTGTGTAGTGTTGTGCTATTTTTTTTTTTGCTATAGTAACATAAAATAAAAGATCTGCTAGTTGATAACAAGCCACTAGTGACTTCTAGATATACCTACTCAGATTGCTCAGGATGTTTCGTCTTCAAATATTTATTTGAACAGAAGGAGACTAAAGAAACCCTCAGTTACAATACATTGACAGAAACTGCTTCATGCTGATTTTCTATGAGAGAGTGGTACTATCATGAATCAATCACGTCACGGATGACCTGTAGTCTCTAGAATACAGCAAGTGTTTTTCACTCGATGAAGACCATGGCTAACTGGTATAGAACCAGTTAATAATAATTACCAAAGATAAAGTATATACTAACATGTTTTCGGTGCATCATATTGCTAGGCCTGTAGTCTCCATGGCCGATGACAGGCCGCTTATAAGAGCGGTAAAATTTCTTTACCTCCTTATTCTCTACTAAACCATACATAAATTTTGAAAGTCTGTCCCGATTCTCTTCTCTTGTTACTGTGAGAGCATTTGCAATTACATCTCTAATGAAACCCAATGCTTCCTCAGATTCGCGATGGTCCTTTGTAATATTTAAATTCTCAAACTCTTCTGGTTCACTTTGAGAAAAAGCAATTGAGAGTGCGTGAAATCTCGCTAGATTTTCTAAACACTTTGAAGTGTATTCCCAATCTATAGATTTGAACCTATCATATGTTGTAAAGCCCTTAGACGTTAGATCTTCAAAAACGTAGACTTCTTTTAAATATTCATCAGATCCACCATAGTACTTTGGGGTCGCAAATCTATATTCAGCGGGAACATTGTTTCTTTCCTCCAATTCTTTATATTTCTTCAGTATGTAATTGTAAAAAAGGCTTTCTGTTTCATAGAGCTTATAAGGTGATACTGATCTTATTTTCTCACCAATCGCAGCAATTTTTGCGAACAACTTAAGATCATCTTTTCCTGGAGCTTGAATAGTAGCAAGATACAGAGCACTGGTGTAGTTTGCTCCTCCACTAGATATAGCTTTTATCGTGATTTCATAATTCTCATAGTTTTGGTCAATTGCAATTTTTTTCAGACAGTCATTCAACATTTCTTCACAATTTGCCATTATTTCACATATATTGGGTTAAATTGTATACTGTAAAGGTAATAAAAAATAATATTTAAATAAAATTGATTTTGAAAATTTCTTAACTACTTATGATATAAATAAGAATGTTTGTGAGGATGTATGATTCATATATATCCATCTGCATGTGGATGCATGAGTGTTGGTTGCTTTTCAAAGTAAAGACTACTAAGCAGATTTTGATGAAATTTATAGTTATGTTATTTATACACAACAATAAATACAAACGCAACAATTTCTTATTAAACATTTTGCAGTTGTATTACGTAAGAAGTCTGGCAAATCATAGAGCTACCTCCCAATTGGTCCCCACATTTATTCTTTCAATACACTTAATACTTTAATGTGCCTAATCCCAAATTCAACGCGGACACACTCGCAGAAAAATGTCGTTATAAATTGAACATGGTGTTCTTAATCCATATAATGTACACTTATTATATATAGTCTACATTATTTACATAAAACTAATTTCATAATTTTCATTCAATAGCTACATACTGACAAATTTTTATTTAAGCTTTTGATAAATACACATTTAAGTAAAACGCTGATTTTCGTGTATATCTGATGACTTTGCAAAAATTACGTATTTAAAAGATAAAGAAACGTCATAAGTCTTTGTTATAATATCAGTAGATATCACAGATATGTAAGATTGATTATATAAATATTGATAATATTATCAGATAAAAACTTAAGATGTGTCATTGTTTATAAAACGGTATCAACATTTGGTAACAACCAATTGTTTTTTTATCTGTTCGGTTACTACAACAACTCCCGTATAATCTTTGTGTATTGAAGGTCACTGGAATTGTATAGTCATGTTATTGTCTCCCACCACGCACCGTTAAAAACGATCGCCAATGGTCTATGGCAACGAGTATGTTTTTTAAATATATAGAGATTTTGGGTACATGATTTGACATCATCATTCAATAATTGATTGAATAAATGAATAAAACTCGCCATAATCTTAGATCTCATTATGAATAAATCTGGTTGAAATCAAAACCCTTGTTTAATATCTGATTTATTACAAATAATGTATCCTGTTGAATTAGTTTTACATTCCTTTTAACGATAATTCATCAACAGCTGCTTTTGTTATTAAATTGAGCAAAATTTGTAACAGACTCACCAAAAAACAAATAACTACACTGAGCTATGCGGAACAAACGTCTGGTTGGCTGGAGTTCTTGTAGTGTACTAAAAAACACGACACATTTACCGAAAGTCAACATAGGAACTTGGGATTAATACAGAATCATTTACATTTATTACATCGCTACTCAATCAAAGTCACTGCACCCATCACCTGCTATCTAACCTTCAATGTATATCTAACTAAACGTGCCTTAATTTTTTATCATTTCATCTTATATGTACGTTTGACGTTTCACACGTTATAACGTTAGGTCAAACGAGATCTGTGAATTGTTATTCCTATTTTTATAATATGTTTTTATTCTAAAATCATCTATTCGGGTTCTTTCCGTTTGATAAGAATATTAATACAGACCAATATATCTTTTGCCAAGACTTTCTATGGTGTAGTATAGTTGTTATAATTCAACATCTCGTTCATCGAGGCTGACAGTTTCTGTCGGTTACAAAAAAACACATGTTTTGATTATCACTTGACCCGTTGAATTCCGTAGGTACTTTTGTCTAATCTTTTGTTTTAATAAAATCTCAAGTCATTATTGTAATACACGTAATAAAGCATCCATTTTTTTAAATGCTTCTAAAAATCGCTTCTAAAAATTTCCAGAACAATAATACATAGCGTACGTTATATTGCTTCTTTTCATTTTTTGGTACGTAATTATAATATTCAGTTCAGAACTTCTCAATGAAGTAAACAATGTGCGGGATAATTCCTCAATAACTTGAAGAAATTAAATAAATTTTGGTATTTATATAATGAACTATATCAAAAGAAAAGGAAAGAAGCTTAAAAATTTGTATAAATTATTAATATTTAAATATAGTTGTGTGTGTTTTAACAAAAATATTTTAATAATTCCATCAAATTATTTTTAATACATTTGTTTAGTAATAAATAATAAATAAATTATATATTTTTACTACATTCATAATATATGAAGCTAACCAGTTAAATACACATAAGGTACCTATAGGTAACGGACATGGCACCCAAGGCCGAGCCTTCATTCTTCTTCATTATATATAACATCCTAAAGCTCCTATATTAACACAATTTATAAAACGTATATAATATAAAAACTGCTACTTAATAATTATTTTGTATAAAACTCTTGAGAACTAACTTACCTGATGTATGTATGTGTGTTGGATGCAATTTTAAGGTATTCAAGAAATGAACTATTAAATTACTTCCCGGAAATTACAATTTATATAATGTATGCGTACTATGCTGCTTTAGATGTTAGGTGTTATATGTGTATTCAAACAGCAATATAGACTTATTATTCTATGTATAGTAGTCAATAAAGTACTCTAGGTTATAGCAAAACACTCATCACTACTATGATTCATTTGGAAACAAATTAAAAGTATACCAAACAAAAAACATAATAATTTAACTAATTACGAATCCAGAAGTAATAATACTTTTTCCATATAGTCATCCTCTTTATGGATTTCCACAAAAATCATCAATATGCTTTATTTTATCTAAATATTATTATATTTTATTCATATAAATGAATAAGGGAATGATAATAGCCGTTTACCGTATTTTATTACCTAGAAATAGACATACGTTCACTCACAAATCAGGTTTGTAAAACAGTTATAAACGAAACAAAACGAGTAGTAGTACGGCGTTTGACGCGCCTTCCGCGGGCGAGTCGCCTCCATTCGTCACGAGAACCACATCAGGAAATATTAGGTAATAATAGGACGCGTGCGTATTAGAGGGTTGCTGGAGACACACTGGCGAGCCGTGAAATCAATAGAAAATAATAAAACTAAGTACATGGAAAAAGAAATGAAAATATATTCAAATATAGAAACTTAATTATAGGCCATACTTAACTTAATTATAGAGAAATGGAATTGCTTATCATTCACTTACAAGATTCCCGAAATGAAGACTCATTTTTGAGTGTACCAACAAATAAAAGTTGTATTAATTTTACTATGGGATGTTTTTGTATCAATTTATTTTAAGCAATAGTCACTTACTACTTTCTAAGATTAGATTATTATTGTTTTGAATAAATTGCTTAATATTTAAGTGCTATTAATCCAAATAAATAAGATTTACTATGATTTTACTTATCACAATATGTTCAATATTTAAGTGATTTTAACTCCTCTAACGTGTTTGTGTGTTATTTTGAATTTAAGATTGATATTTATACCACTTTAAAATACATACTTAATGCTGTTTAACACCTACTATAACAATAGAATAAAATGTATATACGACCATTCCAGTATAAAGAAGACAAAAAATTAAATATCGAGACTATGGTAACGATAATTCTTTTGTAGTGTCGCCAATAAAATAAAGGTACACATCTCTAATAACATTCTAAAAATCCCTGCTCTGATGACACATTAAATCATCTTTACTTAAAGATTTCTATATAAAAGGAACATTTTTGAAAACACTTTTATTTTATACCAAGGAAGTCATGAAATGGTTCGGACTAGATGATAATTTTCATAAAGTATTAAAATAAAATTAAAAAATCTAAACAAAAACTTTTCTCGCATAAAATCGATATTACATAATCCTTTATAGATGCAGACCTCATAAAGTAAATTTAACAATCTGCGCATTCGTATTACGATTATATCTATTACGTTCCTTTATTAAATTTTCTATTTCAGTTAGCCAAGGCACGTGATAGTTTTAAACTAAAAAGTATTTAAGTAGACAATAAAGATTTTCTAATCCTGTGTATCGTCTTCAAGAGATGTACCTAAGTCGTAATTTATTTCAAAAAAAGCTCCAGAATGACAGTGGGACAGTGGTAACGCTATGACACAATATATCGTTTCCATATTTTAATATATAATATAGAAAAATTACACATCAAGATGTTATAACAATAAAATGGGAAGATGTTGAAAACGTCTGATGAATAGAATTGTTTTAAGGGGAGGAACAGAAAAATCGATCGCTTTATGTGTTAAGTGAAATATAAATAATACTGTGAATAAATCAAATTTAGTCGGCATAGTTACAAATAAATATATACTAACATACACAAAAAGCAAAATAAAAAATAACATAGATTCCTAAAGAACCCAATGCCAACAATTTAACAGGACATATGTATGTTCGTAAGACAAAAACTTTATTTTATTCCTGGTATAGTTTAAACTAAACCCTTGTTCTTCTTAAATAAATAAATATCAGAATTACTTAAGCACTTAAACACCTGAACAATTACTTTAAAATAAATGTAAAAAACTGTGAGGAAGTAAATCATACGCAGATGGACACACCACGATTGATATAGGCGCGGATTCTTTTAAATGTGATGCAACGGCTTACACATATAACTTGGTCTCTTATAATAGGATTTTTCCTTGTTTTAAAATGAATTTAAGTACTTTTATATGGTAACTATTAGGTAACTAAGTAATCATATTGAGTGTGTCGCGTGCCAGTGAATTGTCTCTCTTGTCGATAGTAGGCGTTGACGTACTGTTAAGTTATTTATGTTTAAGTATTTTTTAATGTCGTAAAAAGTCGTTTAGCTACAAGAAAATGGGAATTAAAATATTTACATATGATTTCGTCGACGTTTATTCACAAAGCTGATAAACATTTTCTTACATCTTACCTTCGAGATATTTATAATTCAAATGAAGCATATCACAAAGTATGGTCCTAGTCAATAATTTTTCAAACCAATACTAATGGATTAGACGAAATTATTCAGAATTATAATATATATGGACAGTCCAAATAACAAGTCCCGCGTCATAGAGGTCGCCTTGTCAGGGTAGGTTGATTCAGTGACTACTTTATAAAGTGCAAAAAGGCAATATCTTTCTGAGGATAGTGATTTGTTCGTTGGGTTTCAAAGTAAACGGTAGTTGACAACGAGATTTGTGAGTGGTAGTGATAACTTGTGTTACCCATTGGGTGAAAAGTAGTTGGTAATTTTATTTCCACTAGAAAATGGTATAAATTTTTCAGTATGTAAAGATTATCGAACCTCTTGTGTCTTTAATGCCAACTAACGTAATGTTACATTTTATTACACCGTAACCGCGACTTTGTCCGCCTTAATTTATATTAAAAACGTTTAGAAAACACCAAAAGACACCTGACTATTTCAAAAAATGGCACTTATAATATTCCAAAACCTTATATACGTAATTGAGATATCATAATATTCTTTATGGTACGGAACAAGTGTTTAAGGATCACAACAAAAAAAATTGCAGCTCTCTAATGCTAAATATGTATTGTTACAGATATGTTATAAATTAGATTTTGAAAAACGGTATACTGTTGCTTTGAACGAACTTATGTACCTTTTTGAAAACATTTGTAAAAAAAATTTACTTTTAAAAAGTACACTTAGAAGTTAACTTTAAACTCTAATACTTGAAAAGTAAAGCAATTTGTCAAAAACAATTTTGATTAAATACATCAGATACAACTTTTACAATCCACATAATATGTTGACATAACTTAAAAATATATTGTATCAGTTCCTTATGATGTCGTCGACTTATTTTTACCAAGGAATATTTAAATAGAACTGGAAGGCTCCAAACGCTTGATTCTTTCCTTTTTGAACTCCAAAAATATGTCAATTTTAAGATTTCTTAAAAAATACTGTATCGAATATATGTATGTATGTTAATAATGTTTCTTTACTAGCAAAGCTGGAGTTACGAGTTGTGCGTGTTTGTTTTCTTTCGAATGAAAACAAAAATAAAGCTGTCAAGGTCTTGAAAACTTCCAAGAAATATGTCGACATATTAAAATTACTTATCAATTATTCCAGTTGCCCTTCAATTCCGACAGGCGTTCCAACGCCGCGCCGGTTTATTCAGTATGCAAACCTTTCACCATAAACAGAAACAAAGGCCAAAGCTCCGAAGACAGTATCGTATAAAAATTTCCCACCCCGTTACTCAATGTCCTATATATTATACGATGTAATTTTAAAAGCCCATGAAAATAAGAGAAAAGTATCATATAATTCTATTTTGAGGATTGCGTGATAAGCATAGTTGAACCTTTGCCCTAATTCCATGTTTCCCATCCTCATTTAATAACCTACTTTGAGGTAATAAAAAGTGTTTTCACATAAACCTATATACTCGCATGTATATATATATATATATATATATATATATATATATATGTGTGTATGTGTATTTTTAAATGCATTCAACATTAACATTTGTTTAACTTATATATGCTTAGTACAAGTTCGTTATGCTTAATGCAAGTGCGCATCGTCACCCAATATATTATGTATATACATACAAACAACAACACAATTGTTAGTTCTTCATTCAATAACCTACTTAAGACTATCATATTGTTGGAACCCGACGTTTAATTACAATTAAAAGACTGCATTAGTGCATTAAACAGATAAAACATATATTGACTTTATTGAGATCGTAATCGTGTCTCGTTTTATAAAACATTGTTTTTAAACCGACCTCACCAACATTTTCTACACCGCAAACCGTGTTCTAGAATATCCTAAGTCGCGAAGACCTTACCGAAAACCAAAGACCTAAGGCGAAGACTTAGTGAGTGTTACCTGAGCTTTGGTCTAACTGTTGGGTTTCATGACGATCGCAGCCTGAATTTGTTATCCAACCATGTAGATTTCCCGTCAAAAGGGCGCACTTTAAATCCACGAAGCGATGGTTCAGCAGCTACAAAATATTATCACTCCTTCCCAAGTCTTCAGATCTAGGGAGTCCTCTTAAAATCAACAGTCTATGACTTAGCTTCCAGAGACCTGGTCTTCCACCACGCCCTTTATTAGAAACAACTGTTCCTCAGGCGAAGTGCCCACTCCTCTTTTTGACCCCAATTGTTAAGAACTAGAGTTTAATTAGCAATTTAAAAACAACATAAAACCGAAAACACAAATATTTATTTTATTAACATGATTTTATCAAAATATAGACTGGTTATGAAAAAAATATAATTAATTGACAAGCATATCGATATATTAACATAATGAAATGATTGTCTCGATCTGCATCTTTTGCGTACGATTATTATTAATAATTTTATAACATTTGACTTTTTTTCTTATTAAATTATTATGACGACATTTCGCATATGACATTTTATGTTTCTGGCATCTTGTTTGTTTTTTATTCAGGTAATCAGGCATCAGACACCACTCATCGTATTAATGCAGTAATACTTTACATTATTTTCTTAGTACTAAGAGTCATAAAGTCACATATTCGAAAAATTTTACATGTTTGTTTTGACGAACGACTTATGGAGCTATCGTGGTCTTGTTGACAATGCAAACTTATACTAAGTTTTTTATGTCTTCAATGCCCTTAATATTGACACAAAAACCTTCGGCTCAGATATCTTAAACATGATATCCCAACAAGTTTAACTTAACTGTTATCTAAATCAATAGAAAAATTAAAAATGCCTTGAATATATTACAATATATTAAATATAAAATCTTGTTTATTAAAGTCCATGAATATAAACTTGTTACCTGATCTCCGTCTACAACATTATAGTTCTCAAATTTGATGAAGTAAGATCAATGTATGTATTAAAATGAATTGGATAATTTGTTTACTAACTGTGACAATCTTTATAAATGATAGTGATGCTGTGATTTATTATTTGAACGGTAAGTATATTTGTTAAATACTTATTATTTTAACCACAATTTAAAAAGAAACTTAATATTTTTCCTCTTTTTAGACACGGAATATAACCGCATGCCCCCTGTTTTCAAATTAGACGACTATCAAGCTTGCCTCGGTAAGACAGACGGTCTTTACTGTACAGCGGAACTTAATTTGGTGTCCAACACTGAAAGTGAACTTCTGCAATTGATTAAAGTAAGTTCTGTCTCCCAACTTCTTTTACAATGTTTGTAACGGGTGTCCCAACAAGAACGCAATTTTTAACTTTGGCTCCATTTTAAGTGCCATTGTTTGACATTTGAACAATTGTTATTATTTGCTTGTAGAAGGTACAAGGTTTGTAAAAATGGAGCGCTACACGAATGAACAACGCATTTTCATTGTAAAATTGTTTTACCAAAATGGTGAAAGTTTTGCGGCTACAGTTCGCAAATTACTCAAAAAGAGTCAACTGTAAAGAGATTAATGAATAAATTTGCCGAAACTGAGTCTGTTAGTGATGTAAAAACAACAACAACAACGCAAACAGTCAATGGTGTTCGATATCGTGAAATGATTACCAGTTTTTTCTTGCCTAGAATCGAAGAAATGAATGTGGACGGCATGTGGTGTCAACAAGTCGGCGCCACATGTCATACAGCCAGAGAAACAATTCAATTGCTGCATCAGTCATTTCCTGGTCATGTTATTTCCCGTTTTGGAGACCAGAATAGGCCGCCTAGATCGTGCGATTTAACACCTTTAGATTATTTTCTTTGGGGTTTTTTGAAGTCGATGGTTCACGTGAATAAGCCGACGACGACTTAAGCCTTAAAAGAGGAAATTGGACGCTGTATTAATGAAATACCGCAGTATTTATGCAAAACGGTCCTAGAAAATTTCATTCAAAGTTCGCGCGTGTTCCTGCAAAGCCGCGGCGGCCATCTGCACGATATCTTGTTCCATACATAACCTCATTCTATCTACTTTACGATATAATAAAGTTTCACGATATTTTTTTTTAATATCAGTGTTTTATTTAAAATTTAAAAATTGCGTTCTTGTTGGGACACCCTATATGTATACTGTTATGTAATAAAAATAACAAACAAATCTTCGTCGTGAATATCAACTTATTATTTTATAGTTATTTTTTCCAACCCACCTTCAGTTAATATACAATTAGAATTTTAAATTATTATAATTATCTCAAAACATACTTCTATTATATAAATAATCCTTATTTTTTTCCTTTTAGTTTCCACCTTCAACATAACTATATACATATTTTAATTGAGCTCTGAACTCTGCACTTTGAACAATATTTAATTGAACTCTGTCAAAACAAAGAAATGAGGAAGATCAAAATACAGATTTTTTTGTAATTTTCCAGGAATATTCTGAGCAAACACGAACACATTATAATCATTCACAATTAACTCATGGCATTTGTGTCAGTGACCGTTGTCAAAATTATATAAAAGCTGGCAGTCTGGTCGAACGTTCAACCCTGGAGGAATGTCTCAATGATATATTTACAAAGGATTACAAATTGACAACTCAAGTGAAAGAATTCACCTGTTCACGCAGACACGAGTCTAAAGAAGAATTTGACACACTTGATAAAGTAGTAGCGATACTTTTAATAATTATTTTGGGGCTAAATATAATCGGAAGTTTTTATGATATACGATATAAAAAGCAAGAAACAGGTTGGTCCATTGTTATAAATATGTATTTAAATGTAGCTTATTGAGAACTTTATTAGCTTTATAATATATTATTGTTTTCAGAGGAAGGTTTTCTGCTCTGTTTTTCATTAAAACGCAATTGGAAACGACTTACGTCATATGCAAGCGAGTCGGACCCTCGAATAGAGAGACTTAAATCACTGAATGGGATACGGTATAAAACATAAAATATTAATTATACTTTAAATTTAAATTTTCCTACGAAAAAGTTAGAGTATACTGATACGATAATTTAAGTACCTACATACAAATACACATAGGTTTGTTTCTTTACAGATGTATAATTTTAATCGGTGTGGTAATGGTCCACAGTACATGGATCATGATACGTGCAGGGGAAAATTCTCATGATTTGGAGCTGGTAAAAATTTTTTCAACAAATATTTAATTACATATCAATTTGTAATTATTTTCTATATTTTCCATTATAGATGTACTATAAATTGAGACAGAACTTTCTACTGAGTGGATCCTTGGCGATACAATCAAATATTGTTATATCGGGCTTCTTGTTAGCGTACAATATGGAAGTTTTTTCAGAAACCAATAACATCAGCTGGTACATTATACCAAAAGGCATTTTATTGAGATATTTAAGGTACATTCATTCTATATTATAATTTCATAATCAATGTACCATTTATATTTAATTCTTCTGTTTATTGTTATAATTTTAAGTTACCGCTAAATATTGTGGTTTTTTTAATGAAACTATAATTTTCGGATATAGTACGTTTATTTCTTAAATTATTTTTTACTTTACTGACGTTTCGGTTACTCTACACTAAAGTAATGGAAACCAAAATGTAAAATATGTACTCTTCAAAACCTTAGGTATAACATGTTTATAACTTGATTGAAATTATAATTCTCTTTAGTGTCAACGTTAATAACAATTACATATTCATGTAATACTGTAGTTTTTCTTGAATAAATAAAAAAGATTCTTTGAAGAGGTAAATATTTTCTATTACAGATTCACACCAATTTACGCTCTCGTGGTAGCGTTGAATGCTTCGTGGATAAAATTTTTTGAACGCGGACCGTTGTGGCAGGTATAATAATAGATTCCGTTAAAAAATTCAACGATATCTTTATAATTTAATATGATTTTTTACCCCAGGTATCAGTTCACCGTCTGTTGTCTCATTGTAGAAGCGATTGGTGGCGTAACCTTCTTTACATCAACAACTATAAGTACAATGCGGCGTGCTTAATGCCTACATGGTAAATAAACTTTTTTTTTTTGTTCTGTACATTAATTTACTAAATATAATACGATTTTTAACATTCAAAACATAATAATTGTTATGTTAATATAGTTAAATACTTGATTCATTAAAAAATAATACACTTTTTAATTAAAACTAATGAATTAAACAACTAAGCAAATAATTAACTATATATATGTATATTAATTATATATTATAAGTTTATTAAAATTCAATAGACCTGTTTCCGAGATAATGTTAAAAGTATAGATATATAATATAAACATATTTTGAATTGAATGTTTCAAATGAAATCGTCCAATTTATGATGCAATTCATAAAAATGTATAGATAATACCTTCATACCTCAACAGGGACCTTAAGAAGTTATGCAATAAAAAATATCACTCTTACACAGGTATCTGGCAGTGGACATGCAGTTGTTTTGTCTCGGGATCATATTATTTGTACTTTTGAGGAAAAAAACCTATCGAAAACCTGTTCTGATAACCATCATACTCTTAGGAATGATTATCATAGCTGTTCATACTTACATTCGGGATTTAAACGCAATATTCATAATATCACCTCAGTAAGTATAGTTATGTGGTTATATTTATTAACAAAATTATTCAAACATAAAAATTAAAAGGCAACAGAAATGAATCTCATGGTCTTCTAATATCAACCTTAACATGGGTAAGCAAGGAAACTTGTCGTGCAAAGCTGAATACAAAATTTTACTGCATATTACAAAAATGGATAGTACCCTCTAACAAACTCACAGTTGGTTCATACTCGTACATAACTCTTTTTTTGTTCGTTTGTACAGTGAAATAAATATTATATTGACGAGTTACGAACAGTTTGATCGAATTTTATATGGGTTTTTCGTTTGTGAAACTCGATACAATTCTAGGTATTTTGTATTAATATTTCTATGAATATAGAAACTGTGCCTTTTTCTTTATGTTGCATTAAGTATTTTAACATTTAATTGTAACAAATAAGTTATCATATCATTTTCGTTGTTGTTAGTTGTTATTGTTTTTAACGTCATGAGTTATTTTTTCTGTGTTTAAGCTGAAAATGAATATTTTTTAATGATACTACTGTTAATAGTATAAGGAATGGTGTTAATTATGTAACATAGTGTTAAACTTGCATTTTTGCTATGCCTACGCTGCGTAAGAACAAGCCTTAAATCCATATCTATTTATTTTTGTAATTATGTCTTGCTACCCAAAATACAAAGAAATGTACAAATACATAAACTAACTGAGACTATATAAATTAATTATATATGTATGTAAAATATATTTAATAACATTTCACCGTGTATTTACGTCCTTTATCTTTCAGAGAATGTAGAAATCTTTTTGCGACCGATTCTACATTTAACGAAACTTATAAAATGGGTCACACCAATGTACCCAGCTTCATTATTGGTATGATGGCTGGATATTATGTGTACGAATATCAAAAAAGTGGACTCAAAGTATCAAGAAGCAGGGTTGGTATAAAGCCTTATATTCAATTACAAATTAATCTATGCTATCGTAAATCTCATTCAAATTATCTTAAAGAAAATAAAAGTTAGTTTTTGGTTCTAGATATTGCAGCTCATGTACTGGTCTTTGGTTCCTCTGGGAGCAGTCTTGATGTTCTCCGGAGAAGTTTTCTATCGAGACGCTGCACGGGATCCTGTTATAGTGCGAGCCGCCTACGCTGCACTCTCCAAACCCTTGTTCGGGGCTTTACTAGCTCTGCTCATTGTTGGAACAATATTTAAGATTGACAGTTGGTTTCAAATACTCATCATATATTTTACTCGAATATTAAAAATCATTAAAATTGTGATTACATAATATAATATTGCTAATTATTAGAAAAGACTAGAAGAGTACGATGATTTAAAGTCTGGTTGTTTTATAGAAGTTACCGTCGCTTATGTAAAAGTCAAAGTATTAGGTTAATTTAGTCAATATTTAAAGAAAAAAAAAAGGATTCCTTTATTGACTTGACTTTATTTTCTCAAATTTCTCTCTTTTTCTTGTTTCGTGTTTCTTCATAAATTCTTTAAGATCTGTATTTTTTTCATTGCAACCACTAGAAAAAGTTAAGTGTTTGGATACTTACGAATATCATAAATGGCGATATTCTACTATATTGAGTTGTATTTCATATCTTTTTGCTAGAATTACTTCTTGTCAATATTTCTACAATTGCTAAAATAATACAATTTAAATCTACTTCAAAGTATGAATAGAACAACTTAGTATATTGATTTTAATAATTGTATTTTTTCAGATTTCTACCGTAAAGTACTAGAATCCAATCTATGGACAATCCCAAACCGGCTGAACTTCTGCGTATTTCTCGTAAACTTCACTCTAATAAAGCTGTATGTAGGAACGATGCAGTCTTTAGTCGTGATTTCTAATACGACTATGGTAAGTTCTAGAATAATTTTGAAAGTTTAACATTTATTTAGGAACCTTACACCTCAAACAACATCCCATATAATGGCGAATGACTGGTGTGCTAGAAAGTTTCGCATTTTAAAATACTTGGTAGGTAATACAAAAAAAAATATCACAATTTCTTTTTATTACCACCAGCCACCAGCACCACCATTTATTATTACCAGCAAAGATTAAAGCTACTAGAGGTTTATTCTTATTCAAACTTGCTGTATATTTAAAAGCTACTGCATATTTATTTTCTATGAAAAGTACGCACTGTTTTTATGAAATGTATTCAATCATTAGTCTTTTATATCTTTTTAGGTGCTTCTGGCATCCTCCGCGCTTGTCGCATCATTTGCTGTCGCTGTACCACTCTGGATGCTGGTGGAGATGCCCTTCGCTAGAGTAACCAAGTACTATTTTACCAGAAGATTTTTCAACAAACTGAATAAAAATGAGTGTAAGTAGTAGGAAACAGCAATTAGTAATTAATAAGAAATAGAAAATTAAACTTAATTCTCTTACTCCTGCGATTATAAAAAAAGACCAAAATATTTTGATGCCATATATATAAACACTTTTATTTACTAGTTCTAATTTTTCTTACAGGAACTGCCACGTCAAGTCTGAAAAGAAACATTTGAAGAAGCACAAGAAGAAGAACATTTGAAGAATATGGGGATATTTTAATTGACTAATAATTTACAAAAAAATGTCATTTATATATAAAAAAATATTCTAAAATTATACAGAATATTTCTGCAATCATTACAATTATAACTTGAGTCGAAATATCTCAAAGATTTTATTAAAACATAGACAACAATGAAAATGTTCATTTTTAATATAAATGACTTATACTAAAATGCTATTCTTTTTCTTATTTCTATCTATCTGATTTTAATTATAACTAACTCTCCTAAAATAAATTACAGTTAACATTTTCTTATGTTAGAGACATGGATAAAGTTAATCGAATTTAATATATCCGTTCTCAATAAAATCGTCAACAACATCATTGATTCGTTCAACGTAGGCTGTTTTCTGGCTGTCTGTAATATCTTCAAAATTCAACGGCTTAAATCCTGAAGCGACTTCCTTGTCAATGCACAGTGTCATGGAAAAACACAAGCTTTGGAACAGCCCCAACGGCAAGACCTGAAAAATAAATATATCAAAACTACATCTTTGTACACATGTACTTACTGGTTCATTTTTTTTCTCATATATATTTCTATCTCTACCTGTTCCACTTCATTATCGAAATCCTTCCTGGAGTATATCTCAGCAGGATCAAGTCCAAATCTTTTAAGTGCTTTACATAGTTCGTCGTAGTAGTGTTCCAGACATCGCTTCAAGTACTTATCCCTGAATTTCTTGTTTGAACCAATAAAAATTAAATACGCGATGTCAACTATCGGGTTGCCGAGACTTAACATTTGATAGTTTACTGCTATAACATCCAAGTGACCGTCCTGAAAATCATTTAAAATCATACTGAGTCTCTCAAATAATAAAATAATCTAAAAAGTCTAATATATGAGATAGTCGACCCTGTACACAATATTTTTCGATGAAAAAACATAGAATAAAGATTAAGATTCTTATAATGAGATCTAAGATTTTCGGATTTACTAAGCGATTTTTATTTTTGACTATAAACAACCTACTCCCGACGTTTTGGCTACTTTACAGCAACCGTGATCACGGCCAGACGAGAAAAACATCTTTCATTATCATTTCGTTCAACCACAAATGATAATGACTCACCAACTTCCTGTGTATCAAGTTGCCGGGTCTGTAGTTTCCGTGGATGATGAAAGGTCGACTGTGTGGCATGTAATATTTATTTTGGTGTTTTCTGTTATCTAATTGAATAAAAATTCTTTCCAGAAGACTTTTATTCTCTTCTTTCACAACTTGAAGCGCAGATGTAAAGGCGTATTCTATGATGCCCTCTAAGCCAGTGTAATCGATGTTGCTGGACAACATAGTCAAATTTTGGAAACCCTCTGGATCATCCTCTGATAATGCAATGGACAGCGCGTGAAATATCGCAAGATTTTCTAAACTTTTGGAAGCATATTCCCAGTCAATAAAGTTTAAGTTATCATTTGCTACAAAACCTTTAGCTGTTAAATCTTCAAGGATAAGTATTTCTTTTAAATATTCATCTGAACCATAGTAGAACTTGGGGGTCACGAGTCTGTGTTCAGGGAGAATGTTATTTTTATCCTCCAATAGCTTGTACTTTCTTAGAAGCTTGTCGTAGAAGAAATATTCCATTTCAAAGAATGGAAGGATTGCTCTCATTGTAAGTTCAGGCGCTGGGACTTTCACATCTAACACCAGAACTTCTTTCCCTGGAGATTTCAAAGTGACTTGATATAGAAATGTAGTGTAAGTATTTTCATTTTCTGATGCTGACTGTATATTAATCTGATAGTTATCATATTCTTGCTCCTCCGCCACTTTATCCAGAATTTCTGTTAAGATTTCTATTGATTTCTCCATTTCTAAGTCAACTCGAATGTTTCTGAAAACAAAAATAATTGAATAACTTAAAGTGAAAAACCTTACAGTATTTTCTATTATAATTAACTCGACAAATCATTTAAATTTTAAATACAAACAAAATGTTTGTGTTGCAAATACAAGATTAAAACAAACACAACAAATATTAAACATATTGTTGTAATAAAAAGAAATTGCTATTAATATTAATAAACTCACCATAAAATAATGTACTGATTGCTAACCCGTTATATATGTATCAAGTATCGTTGCTGATAGAACAAACGTTTTATAAACCAGAAAACATTAACAGACCATTAGATTTTCGGATAAGATTAGATTAATGTGATGTGAAAACAACAATCTGGATGATAAGTCAATTAGAAAAGTGTGAGGATAGATTAGGAGAGGATTCTGTACAAAATAAAACTCATAAAGATTATGACCTAGCGGGAATCAGGTTATAGCTTCTATGTAGACTCCGCTTCAGCTTAGCTTGAAGTAACATTTACTTCAAAGAAAGCTACTGGTGAAATATCTGATTTGTATTTTACCATGAAATCACGTAATTCCTTGCTACATCTAACAAGAGTTTGCCATTCGGCATTTTGATAAAAATTTTATCACATATTTTTTATTTTCTGATAAATTAACCATATTGATTATGTGGTGGGCAAAAAACTATATGCATAAACAACGAATTCGGGTACCAGTGTCCCTGTAGACTCAATTTAAACTTAAAGAAAAAGAAATAACGAATCCACAAATTTATGAAATATATTTATGAATCTTGTATTGTTATAAAAGTAATAATTTTACATACAAGAAAAACTTATTTAAAGAGCACCCTGATGCAAAATTACCTTTTTTTTCATAACCGGGCTAGACTTAAATTGAGCTACTTCAAAATTGTCGCTTGCTAATGTCATACATACTCCGTATTTCATTTCAATACTATGTTATGATTCAATATCCATCAAGGGTTTTCTAAAGCGTCCAATGAACCCTAATAGGGAGAAGGGCTGTCAGCCCATTACAACACTTTTGCCGTTTAATATTATATTTATGAAGTTACTCATGAGGAATTACTAATGTTTTTAGAACATCCAAATTTGTCTTAAATAATGGGTTGGTGAATATTGATTGAAAATTTTTCTTTTATATTTTTTATAAATTCCTAATGAGCGCTATATCTCCTCGCTTATTGGTATAAACTTTAATTTAATAATAAAGTTAACTTATAACGTGAGCGCAGAAAAATATTTTATATAAATAATAAAAAATAAAATAATAAGACCAACTGACAGACACTCACATCTCGTCTGCCCGTGATCACGGTTGCTGTAAAGTAACCGAAACGTCGAGAGTATGTAGTTTATATTTATTCAGAAATATAAACTTAAACTTCGTAGTACATCTAAAAATGATAGACAACATACTCGAAACAAACTTATTTGAAGAATTTTTTTAATACTCTGGAATCTTTATTCACACCATTAAAAAGATAATTAATTTTTTTGTATGTATAGGTACGTAATTGCAATGTTAAGTTAATATCAAAATAAAACATCTACCACGAATACTAAGTTTTTTTAATAGGTACGAATATTATATTTTTTGTTTAAGTGACATCTTTCGATAAATCTGATAAGCTTTTTGTGTCGCATAAGGCATGAATAATTTTTAGTACAAACATTTGTTAATAGATGGCGCTAAAATGTAAAGTTAATACCTCATTAGTTTACTTCATTAATATCGTCATTTATGGATAAAATTAACGTAATTCGTTATGAACATTTATAACTAAAATCTATATGAGATTTTTGTAGTATTGCGTGTTAAAAAGATTTCCTGTACTAATAAATCTTCGATTTTTTTTGTGATTCTGCGTTTTTTCCAAGAATACGTATACTTACTTATGATTTGTTTAAGAAAACGTACCGCTAGCATCAGCGATCTTCAATGGATATATTGTTTATATTATTATCTGTTTCACTCGGTCAACGTACGACCTATTAACCCATTCAGATGTTAGCAACTTTAATGAAATTATTTATCATATTACAATAATTTCTTTCAATTTTACTCAATTGTACATAATATTTACTTGAACCTAATCTTTTTTATCGATATAAATGTGAGTACGATACCTATACATATATTTTTACCATATAATAAATCCTTAACAATTAAAGAATAAAGACTTGTAAACATGAATGATTACTTTTGAGAATCAGCGTTTACTTTATATTTATGGACACCAATCATGTACCGTTACTTCATCGTAAAATTAATTGTTCTGTTCGTAATCTTAAAGTCAGATGGATGATTTGAATAAGCTTTTATAATATAATTTTTTATATAGATAACACAAAGCAAAGAAATAGTTAAATGATATTCCTTTTACTAAACTTTTTATATCGAAGGTTCCACGTAAACCTAATTTTTTTAAGCTTACATTATAATTACCATAAAAATAATTGTAATAAATAAAAAACACTAATTTACCGGAACTTTTAGCATACACCCAACAGCTTAACGTAAAAGTTAAAAATAAAAACCGGTAATTACAAAAGAGGTCGAACAAAACTGTTATTATAAGTTAAACCGTTAATATATTAAAAAAAAATGTTTCCAGCATCTGCCAGCAAGCTAAGCGAGAGACGGTCAGCTAGTCGAGCGAATCTCACAACGAGACGCGGCAGAAATATTAACAGTTATGATTAAATGAGTTAAATTAATTAAATATTAAACGACATTTGTTATGATTTGAAGACAATGAAGTGGTTATTGTTACTGTTTGTGTTACCGGCACAATTGTCTGGGACGCCGCAGAATTTTACAAGGTATGATTTTATAGTTAACCTTTTTAAATATTTAACTACTTGGGTTAACACGGATAAATAAAAAGCAGGTTTTACCTACTTTCCTCGATACATCAAGCTCGTATTTGTTTTAAACCTAATACACTTACTTAATCGGAAAAGTAATGTAGCTAATTATTAATTGAAAATTAGTTTTAAGATATGTTTTTCATCTCAATTAAATATTATTGTTTGAAATATTCTAGCTTGTAAAACTTGAAAGAAATTTCAACTTGCTTTCTTTGGCTTAACTTGTCTTTTCACTGGCATAACGAATGCAAAATTAAATCTTTTTTATTTGTTATTGAATTAAATTATAAAAAGGAAGAGTGAATAACGAAAATCTGGCTAGCAATTACTTCATACTTTATCTAGGTGACTTTTAATAAGACAACTATTATTCTTTTTCATTTCACATTATATGACATTATATACCATAAGTGTATACCTATGTTATATTTTAGGTAATATTTGCGATTACTAAAATATTATGCAAATAGTATTTCCTATAAATACTTACACATAATGAGATCTAAGATTTTGTGAGTAAGTATTCACTGAAATAAAACGAATATTTTTCGGATTTATCGCGCGTTTAATTATTTTTAACAACATACATAAGTACTCCCGACGTTTCGGTTACTTAAAGATATTCCTGGTATCTTTCTTCTCAATGAAGTGTTGATTTTATTCAATATATTAAATCACTGATGAAGTTATCTTCATGAGCTGATGAAGAAGTCTTTAAATTTCTTCCAAGCATTTGTCATTATACAGAAGATACTGTAAAAAGATACTATAAATATCTTTCCAATTTATATAGTTGTAATATAATTTTATTACTTATATTTTAAATACAGTTTATTTCAGAGGCTAATAAAACTTGTAATGCACTTTTTATTATCTATGTACAAAATTGTCTTAAACTAATTTCTTGTAGTTTCCCGCTAAAACAATTTTTTAATTGATCATTATCAAGGTAGATGACATTGATTGCAAAGATAATAGATTACTCTGAACAATAAACATCCGGCTTCGTGAGAAATAATTATTAGGTTTATTAAAAGTCATAGATTCTGAAGAAACATTGAATATAATTAGATGTTGAATTTAATAAACATATTATTTATTAATATTATAATAATACTAGCTGACCGGGCAAACGTTGTTTTGCCATGTAAAACATAGGGGTTGGTGATAAAAAAATAAAAAAATTGTATTGTATTTTTAATGCTACATTATAAAAAAAATAACAAAAAAAACGTCCTAAAATAAAAAATTAAGGGTGAACAACCTTTATGACTTAGGGGTATCAAAAATAGATGTTGGCCGAATATCAAACCAACTCAACATGCACAAAAAATTTCATCAAAATCGGTCCAACCGTTTCGGAGGAGTTCTCTGTCTGCTGCGACACGAGGACTTTATGTATAAGATATACATAAACAACTATATTTGCATACACGTACAGGTACACAAATATAAACAGAAGTTCTTGTTTGAATACGGAAAGTCTATAAGTATCAGAATTTACTAAAAGATTATATTTTTAGTAGTTAATATTTTCAAGAGCCTCCGAGAGTAACGAAAGTGTCCTACATCAAAGAAATGTCGACAGTCAAGACACTCTTCGACGTTCTTAAGACATTATAATAATATCATGTTTAAATTTTAATATACTTAATTTCCGAAGGCTTATAAGGAGTACCTAATCTAAGAAGATTAGATCATAGTTTCCTTTTCTCGTATAAAGAAAGCCTAAATGAGGAGATTTTACTTCATACATATGTAGATTTTGTATTTATATAGGTAATAAGTGTAATATAGTTTTACATTCGTATTTATTTCATTCATAATAACATACAGAAATAATTTAGTAATGGATAAAATCTTAAAAATTTTATTTTCTTTAAGAAATCTATAGTAAATAAATGTATAATTAAATCTACAATACAATAACAAAATTTGAACAACAAAATCGCATGTATGGTTGTTTTTAACGGCAAATGTTTTTACTTTTGCCACATTGGATGTTACAATTTTGTAATTATTTAGATATAAGTTATAAAACACTATCAAATTAAATAAATTAATAAATCCCTTTTCAGATTATTTCTGTTTGTTAAGTTCTTTCGCGTTTCTTATTTAGTATCTAATACTATTATATCACAAACTTATTACGACAATATAACAAAGATTAGCTCATTAACATTTTGCGTAACTTCGACAAAAATTATATTAATTTATAAAAACACGAGTAAAGTGTGTTTAAATTAAGTATCTCGTAATTTTTGGGTCACACATAGGCAAGTTTAAAATTTTACCAAAGTGTAATCGCTCGGTTTTAAATAACAAAAAACTTTGCTGGTCTGTCCTTACATGATTAAATAAATAAGCATTTCTTGCACTTATAACATATATAGGTATGAAATAACTGTATTAAGTCGTATTTAAATATTACAAAGAAACGAATTCCAATGGGAACGACGTGGATTAAGGAAACACGTTGATTTAAGTTTATTTTGGAATTGACCTCAAAGGATAAGTGAAAACAAAACATTCATGATGACTTTGACCTACAACGAGCTTGAATACACCTCCCAGGATCGACGATGTATTAAAAACAAATACTATTTACTACAATTCATTATAAAATAATATAAAAAATTATATTAATAATATTATTAAAACTATAATTTTAGCACAAATGATGATCGTGCCAATATTACTGATAGAGTAGAAAAGGTTAAAGAAGATGATTCATAATAATGAATAAATTAGTATCAATAGGTTCAGTGCTTGTAACTATATTCGTAAAATTTATCATAAATTTTTATCAAATAATAAAATAGTTTTGAATTAGTTGGTTGTTTGTAAATTCAAGGTTGCAATAATACGAAAATATCCAATCTTCATATTAATGATTTTATAACATTAAACTAATTAATAAAAGATTATAAATATTAACAAATAATCTTTATGTTGAATTAAAAAAATAAAATAAAACCTTCTTAGACAATGCTGTCAAAAAGAAAAAAGGGAAACACAAAGAATTAAAAAAGTGACTATGCTTATAATTTGTCGTATTATTTCAATAATTTATTTAAAATATCAGTACTTGTCTTATATATAGAAAACCGTATCCAAAACCGGTATATCACGATGACAGTACGATCATTGTTTTCAAACTGTCACCATTAAGGATATCTCTTGACACTGGACTTCACACTTCAGATATTATAATGAAACAGTATCTGAATTTAAATTAAGTAAAATAATATTCCTCAAACATATAAATATTATTTTCTGAAATTATTTTTTTGACAATTTACTATTTTTAATACAATATAAATACGTAAATAATCAGTTCCTTAGATTTAGTTTGTAATCAAATAGCATTTACAGACCTGAGGCAGTACATAAAATGCCAAATAAAATTTAAATTGATCCAGTACATATATTTAAAATATGATCCCATTTCTCTTGCATATTTAGATTAGCATAGCTTCTCTTTCATAGCAACTAAAGATATATATAAAAGAAAATAAAATTCGTATACTTGGATCAATATAACAAACCAAAATAAATGTATATATCTATACACCATTATTATACTTTAAATTTTGTTTGTATTTTTGACAATTTTCGTTTTATGAACAGCGCCATCTATTGGCGGCGGACAGAACTATTTTTTAATTAAATATTCTAAATGTTACACAGCTCGCCATGCACAGACAGAAACCATATATTCCTGATCCCTGGTGCTCTCACGGCTGGTGGTTCAAGTCGAGCCTGTGTCTCCAGGTTCTATACGGAAGGTTCAGCTCAAATGACACTCACGCTGAATGTTGATGGGGAAACTGTGACTTCGAGTCGAGACCTTCAATCAGGTTTAATGATTATAATAATGCAGAACTTTACTGATACTTTATAGTAGGGGCTCTTGATCATAATATCAGCTTAACACACCCTTGTATATCATCGTAATCTCTGATTAAATAAATGAAATTAAGAATAAGTAAAATTAATTGCATTTAAAATTTAAGTTCTTTAGTTTTGTTTTATAAAAACAGTTCAGTATTAAGTTTCTACATTCCTAAAAATAGATATACATTATAAATTAAACATATAACCTTTCAAATGTAAGAATATTTCGTATTTTAAACATAAATATTTTAATAAAGAATTCTTTTGTAAAGGTGACGGTGGATGTCTGGACATATCAGTTCCACAGCGACCAAATTCTAAAGCCGATGTCTATATTAATATAAGGTCTGTATACAATTAATATTTTTTCAATCTTTTTACCAAAAATTACTTTTGTATAAGTTATTATACTAATTATATATTCGGAATAGTTTGTCTTTTAAATCAAAATGTACTTATATAATTCTTTTTTGTAACGCGTAGTCGTTTTTTTTTAATACAACGTGTGTGTTAGGATATTGTTCTATAATTATACAAAGTTTATTAAATATACTATTTGTATTTAAAAATGTATCTTATCGTTTAATGTTTAAATAATCGAATAGTGAGGGTAAGACTTACAAAAATGTTGCGTCGTCAATAATATGTCAAACGAATGTTTAATATACTATTATATTGAAATCAGCTTTGTTATAAAACTGTTATATATAGTATATTTAACATATTAATACATACAACGACTTATATTAGTTAGTATTAATTAAGTCTAAGATCTAAAATTGTACACAACGTTTGATTCCTATTTAAATAAATAAAATAAATGTGTTCTCCAAAACTAAATAAATATAATATTGCTATAAGTGTAGTTTGACATAGCCCAGTAAAGATTTGGTGATATTCTTTTGTTTTCAAAATATTTCTTTGTATTCCTCAGATATCCTCAATGCGTGTGGGAGCGACATATGAGAGTTCGTGTATCAACTGGTCGCGTGGTGGTGATACATACGGAACGAGCTCGATATAAACCTGGAGACCTGGTCAGGGTTAGAGCTCTCGTCGTTAAAGCTGACCTAACACCTGCACATACAGCTGTAAGTAACTCCACGTATACAGAACAAGAACAGTCTAATATTAACAAACAAATGCAAGTTATATGTAATACTCATTAAGCTAATAAATATGTTTAGGCCCAAGTTGTAAGAAATATTTTTTTATTTTATATTCTGTCGGTACCTTAAAATGAAAGGTTGGACCTGGCTTGATAACGTTATTTAGTCTCATAACTGCAACTCTAATATGTACTGGCTATCAGGAAAGTATATCACCTCATAGAAAATTGATTCGAACGATTTCTTTGGCATTATTGCTTGTTATTAAATAAGTAGGTTTCGATAATCCTACTTTTTTATATCTTTGCTTTAAAAGTAATAAATACATATAACGACATTACTTACAAGTTACAACATTTACTAAATAAAAATAATATTTTAATATTATAACTTTTACTTTTACTTTTACTAAATAAAAATAATATTTTAATATTATAACTGCCTTACACCGAGGATAAAACGAAAAGCAAAAATGCTTTGTAGGAAAAACAGTTTTCTATTGACATTTGAACCTACGTGATAACAGAGAGATTTTGCTTATCAAGCTTCCTTTCTGATCTAAATACGTGGATCATACCGATGGATTGTGTTCGGTCATATTCCGTCTATACTCTATCACAATCTTTACACTCACAACCTATGACGAAAGCGAGAATTTTAAATCTTCACTCTTTAATAAGTATATCAATAATATGTTACGATCTAATAAGTTCTCGTGAAAGACAATAAATAATCTGAAATAAATGAATGCGTCATAAAATATGTCTGGCATAAAAACCCCATTGAAGTGAATTACAAATGTACCTACTCCAATTTGTTTCCTCAAACGTACAAGAAGAGAAATGATCAGCCTTCAAAGGTTATGCCTGACTCTTACAATATAATTTCTTAAAATCCAAGTACAGCGAATATCTATCCAAAAAGATCGAAATTCATCATGAATGCCGCTTATAATCGGTGTTCCTTACAAAAGTTGACCAATAATCTGTTTTCTAGGGCTCAAAGAATACAAAAAGTAATATAATGAAATACAAAGGCAAACCAAGTGAACTCTCATTGTATAAGCCACTAGACTACATACATTCCAGTCTCCACTCATAATTCCCTCGGGACGTCATAACAAGGGGAGTGATGGAGACGAGTTCTTTGCACCTCTTGACCGCACGCGCTTTCTGGATGTAACTCAATTGTCTTTGTCTTAATAAACCCACAATTCCTTTTAAATGAATTCCATCCGAAGTAAATAAAAGTTTAGTCTGTCTTGAAATTAAACTGATGTTTACTAAAGTGGTCTTTAAGTACAATTAAAATTATAAAATAAAAGTCATTTCTAAATGTAACACAATGGAATAAATTAAAGATAATTTTAAAAGTATCTTTATGCATATATATGAAACTAATCACATACAAAATAATAGCCAAGAGTATTTACTTTATAGTGAATACTTAATTTAATGCGATGAATATGCTTAGTCATCTTATACTCATTAAGGCAGCCAATTAAAGATTTACTAGGGGTGAAATATAACTAAAAAGTCCCACTATATTCTATATCAAATCAATCTAAACATGTTGTTTCTTTAAGCCACCGTGTATTATTAACTCAGCGACATTATTATTAATACACTTGTGTTATACTGACACGGTTTACTTACCGATACACTTCATTTTGTTTACGTTTTTAAACGCAGCGTAAGTTTCATTTCACTTACCATCGATTCCGTTAACCACACAATAATATTTCGAAGAAATTAATATTAACGTATACTGACTTCATTTTGGGACTCCAAATCTCTTATTATCGGCAAATTTATAAATGTTTAATTCTCATTAAGCAATTAAACTGAGATTTTATCGTACAACATAAAAATTAAAACAAGTAATTTTGATATAAATAAAATGTTTTTAAATGAAGTACAAGAATTTAACTCGTATAAACTTAAACGTCTTTTGCGTTTTAAATACAAAAAACATCTATCTATTATTAAAGAATTACAATAATTAAGTCACTATTTCTGACAATTCAGCTTAAAAACATTGGTATGTCTCACATTTCTAGTCTTTGTAATTCGACCATTTTTGAAGTTGACTATTCGACTAATATTTAAAACTTTCTTAAAATCAACAAAAAGGTGACTTTTGACTACAAAACAAATTGTTATCAACATCTAGATTGATGAAATATGGCTGGAGGGACCTGGTGGGTGGGGGGTAAAGACAGCACAGTGGCTCAAACTGCGACCTCGACTGGGACTGGTCCAGGTTCAGCATCAGTTGGACGACATAGCTCCACCAGGGAAATGGAGAGTGAGGACTCGCCTCGCTGATGGAGCCCAGGTACCAGTTACGAAAGACCCCTGGAATTTATGTTAAAAATAATAATAATACTATCCAGCAGTATTCTGCATATTAATTTGGTACAAATTCAAGCACTAACAATGTATGAATCGATTCTACACACTGACATACAAACATACAAGCTCAATATCGCTTAATTTTGTCTGTCAGGTCTTAGAGAAAATAATTTTTATTTATCGTTCAATCCCCAGTTTTCCTCTTCATTTTTGGTGGGTAACTACGAACTACCACCATTTCAACTAACAGTTCGTCACTCTCCAAGAATATTAAGGACCAGCGAGAGACTTGTGTGGACCGTGTGTGTGAGGTAAGAAACTTAATCTTTATATATGAAAGAAAGTCGTCTTGGTTACACTATTTATAACTCAAGAACGGCTGTACGGGTTTGAATGAAAATTGGCGGAGAAATACCTTAAAACAAGATAAAACCCATAGGATACTATTCACCTGATTGAAAAAAAAATTGGCCAAATCCAAAATCTTCTTATCTACTGTGTTTAAGGAGGAATAGAGTGCGCCCGTTCAGCTATGCATTTCAAACTATGAAACGAAGTCGCGGGTAAAAACTAATATTTTTTAAATGAATGCAGAAACCATTCCTATTTACTAGGTATCCCTGGTCTGAAGCCGTGGAAGGCATGTTGGTTATACGTCTCCGCGGTGCGGGTGGAGGTGATAGCGCTGGGATCAGAACTGCTGTTCGTCTGAAGGCACCTCGAGCATGCCACAGACACGCCGCAGCGGCTAAACGTATAGGACTGAACGGTGATAACCCTCCCGATGTGGTTGTTGCAGACTTTTCGTTTGAAGTAAGTCTACCTCAGAAATACTTTTAATACTCAATTCAAATAAACAAAACCTAAAATGTAAACATCAAAGAAAAGGTCACGATTTGACGATAAACAAATTTCTGAATAACGTTGATACTCTGATAAACGATTTAAGTCTAAAATAATACCTAACAACTTAATTAAGTACTGAGAAAAGGGACTAATAAGAGGAGGCAGCTGTAATGGATTCATCCGCCACTCTAGACTACTTATCTCGTCCGCTCAGTCACGCAATCGAGTTAGGGTAAAATTTTTCCTGGAGTAGAGAAAACAGGTTTTAACGACTATTAAATAATTCACATTAGAAGTTAAGACAGAACTAACAGGATTTCTCTTGTTTATCATTTCTATTTTTATTTCTCTGTTGACCACAACCTATGTTTACCATAAATATTCTGTAAAAATATTGTCCGAAATGGCAAACAGAATAATTAAAGTACATCGTCAACTGATGCAGTTACTCCAAGGTTGGGATAACTTATGTCTCATGATTTGATTACAGTAAAATAAAAATGTGTTATCTTTTTTAAGGAGGAAGGTACCGGTGTGTGGCAGAATACTACAGTGGTGTCACAAGTTGTGGATGAAGCGCTTACTTTGGAGTTCCTTACTAAACATCGCGTCATCATATCACCCGGGCTGCCTCATAAGATTAAAGTAAGTTATAAACATAATGAGATCTAAGATTTTCGCGAGTATTTATTTAAATGAAACTAATATATTCGGATTTACTACGCGATTTTTTTATTTTTGACTATAAACTACGTGTCGTTTTGGCTACTTTACAGCGACCGTGATCACGGACAGACGAGATGTCTAATCCGAAAATATTAGTTTCATTTAAGTATTAAACAATTTATTTATGAGTTAATATACGATTTCATTCGATTATACCTATTGTAGTCTATTCAATGCCTTACGTCTTCATTAGCAATAATATTTCATGACTAACTTTACCTCTAATAGTCACTATCAAATACTGTTCCTTCCTTTTTATAGTCTTTCTCTGTATGCGATTCCCTTAATAAGTATAATTACATATGTACATTTGTCTTAATTGTTTAATTATTAATAGATAAAGGCTACTCGTTGGGACAGCAAGCCTGCTGTGAACGAGCGAGTGAACGTATGTCGGTCACCATCTTCAATTATTGCATCTCAATTTAACTCCACTGAAGCCATTTGTGTGAACGCCACCACAGACGAGAAGGGAATAGCAAGAGTCATGTTCAATGCTGACGATAGTCCATATTACAACCTACAGGTACAAACTTTAATTGCCATTACTATAATTAAATTGTATATAAAATAATTTTTATACATGATATATAATATTATATACCATGCTCTTAAACATCTATCCCTTTTATTCTCAATTTATTCCTCTCCTATTATTCCTCAAGGCTAGCATCAACAACACTCGCACGACTACTCAAGTCCTCGTAGTTCGTTCTGGTCGAGCAGCACTCGGAGCTCTTCGGTCAGAACAGCACGGTGCTGCCTTACTGCCGCTGTACATCGACTTGAAAGTCGTCGCACCACTCACTGTGCATTTCGTGGTATGCTTATACAAAACCCAAGATATATAGATAGCATAATTATGAAATTATCAGGTATTTGTTCCCAGCCTTTGTATTTTCGGGCTCCACGATACAGGTCTCCTAGTGTGGGGTCCAAAGATAATCAAAATTTTAAAATTTCTAAAACCATAATGCACCTCAACCAATGGAAAACATTGTAATAGTTTAAGTTTAAGAAAATTAATTGTGTCATTGTATGTAAATCTAATCTATCATGTAAGCATTAACAGCAGGGAGGCAGAAAAAAGATTAAATAGTAAACATTTTCATATTATGGTTAATCAATTTGAAATAATATACTTGTGAAGTTAACCCTAATTTTTTAATCTTTAAGGTCATCACTCGCGGCGGCATCATCTTTAGATGGGGAGCGACAACTCAATGTCCAATAACAAGTCAGACAGACAAAATAATAACATCTCCAAGAAATAGTGTCTGCCCGAATACAAATCCATATTCAATAGATAAGATCCTTAATAATAACCTGGAGTCAAATTCCACTGAACTCGAAACTCTTCTAGATAACTATTTATCTAAAGTAATGCTACCAATAAAAGTCAGCCCTCAAATGTGTCCGGAAAGCCATCTCATAGCATACTTCTACCATAACGATGAGCTTATCACGGCCAGCAAACATTTTGAAATGGAAGACTGCTTCGTCAGAAAGGTACCTTTACCACTTTTATCTATCCTTACTATTATAAATGCGAAAGTAACTCTGTCTGTCTGTCTATTACGCTTTCACGCCTAAACCACTGAACTGATTTTAATAAAATTTTGGTACCGATATAGACTTGACCTTTATAAAGAACATAGGATAGTTATTATCCCAGACTTTTGAAAATTTCTCTTGGAAACGAGATATAACCGAACTCGACGCGGTTGAAGCTGCGGGCGGAAAGCTAGTTTAATATTTTTTCAGGCTATATTGACTAATGAGGATTGTCCTTCCAGGTGGATGCGACATGGTCACCACGTTTGGTTACACCTGGTTCTCTGGCAACGCTGCAACTCACCACTCCTGGGCCAGCATTATGTGCTCTTACAGTTTTGGATACAGCTTCTAAATGGATTCAATACGAAAATATCAGAGAGCTTGTGATGAACGGTCTGAAGACTCTCATGGACAGTCATAGAAATCTGACAGAACATGATGCTGCATGGGAATGCTTTCTAAGTGTGTATCGTTATATTCAACACATAAAAAATATGTTTGATTAAAAAATTAAGTCCTCTTATACTTTTATGTAATGGATACATTGACCTAGTGACATTTGATATTATGCTACCAACCTAATTATTATTATCTATCGTTTATCCTAAAGAGTTGGCATCGTTTGACGTTTCACAAAAAAAAGTTATAAAACACCTCAGGCGTAAAAAATATAATAAGACAAAGTTAAGATGTCAATACAAAATAAAAAGGAATTAAACAAAAATATCCTAATTGTGGTCAATAATGTACGCAGCATCGGATAGCCCGGTTTTGTCTACAAGTCGCGACCTCTTGAGCTGGTGGCTGGCTTCGGCAGGAGTGAGACTCCTGGGAGACCGTCCTTCATCCTGCGAAGCACCAGAGCTGATGATAGATGACGTATTACCTAGAAGTGATTTCTCAGAGGTATGTGGGACAGAGATGAAACCTCTTAGCATTCAATGGATTCACCGTGCAGGTGCCGGGTCCATCGCGTTGCAAGGAGAGGAGCTTTAAAAACGCTTGGGACTATCGACCCAGGTGTACGTTTAAAGGGTCCCTATCTAACTATGTACTGTTGATGAAACGATGTATACTATTACCACATTAGAAATATTGTTTTGATAGAGATAGTCTAATGTTGCAAATGAAATAAATCATTATTCTTTGTCATATACAAGTTGAAGTCTAATTCAAAATCTGATCTATATTCTCTTGTTTGTACCAGTCGTGGTTGTGGAAGCTGGCTGCAGTAAGTTCGCGAGGTTCCTTATCTGTGACTTCCCGCGCGCCTCACACAGTGACGAGATATGAAGCGACGGCTCTGTGCGTGTCTCGAGCTGGTCTAGCCATTTCTCCACCCGCCGTGCTTCAGGTGATATGATAAGGATAGACTGAATTATTAATGTAAATAAATGAATATATACTAAGCAAATAGACAGTGAATCTATTATGAAAGTTGATGAACTCTTTTGATAGATCGTTGTAGTAAAAAGACAAGTTAGATGGGCGACGGTACTACCTCTATCTGGTAGGCCGTCTGCTCGATAGCTCCCTTTAGAATAATAAAAAAAAACAAAAAAAAGGTCTTTCAGATTATAGTTCATAAGCTTTTTAGTTCATGCCTTCATTTAATTATTCAATAGGTATCGATCACGTACCGTTGCACTTAGTTTAATTTAGCCACATTTCAATTTAGTTATCTCGCAATCGGCTACATCTTTTTCAAAATATTATATCCGTAATACATATGTATATCTTATTATCGTCTTTCATACATGTATATTATCATTCATTTAAAATATATTAAATGAATTCAGGTATTCCGCGAGGTGTTTATTCACGCGAGCGGTCCACGCCGCGTGCGTCGCGGTGACGCTATTGTTGTCCCATACAGGGTGTTCAACTATCTGTACACACCACACGCTGTGAGTATTATGTGATTTAAATTAACTGTCAATAAAACAAACATAAATTATCGAATGAAAGTGATATTGTTCTGATTACTAAGCCTTTTTTAAAAATCGAGATATCATCTGGTCTGTCCGTGATCACAGTTGCTGAAATGTAGCCGAAACGTCGGGAGTATGTAGTTTTTTACAATAATAAAATACGCGTAGGAATCAGAATAATATTAGTTTCATATAAATGAATACAATTGAAAGTCTTAGATCTCATTACAAATTAACGAAATTGAGATAAAACCATCTATTTATCCTTAATCTAATCTAATTTCATAACATGATATGACAGCACTTTCTCTCTATAAACTTGTATTTACTTCTGGTCTTTTATTTCAATAAACATTTCTTTAAAGAAACATATTTTGCTATGAAATGTGTATATTTATATGTTGGTAACGAAAATTCCTCTTGACTATTCAAAAAAATCCTAGCAAGCTACAATAATTATAATTGTATGAACAGTTGGTATTAACTTGTATTCTTCTGGTTTAGAGTCTTTCAATAATTTGTTTAAAGAAACATATTTTGTTTATAATTTCGATTGACTATTCTTAAAGATACTACAAAAGTAATATAATTAATTATAATTGTATGGTCAGGTTGAAATCGTCATATCAACGAATCACGTAGTGGATGGATTAACTCGTGAGGTTGTATGTCTGTCTGCTCGAGCGTCCGTCGCGCGTAGGATGTTGGTGACGTGTCAAGAGTCGGACCTCCTCAGCATCAAAATAACAGGATTGAAGAATGCCAACTGCAGTACGGACTATAGAAAGTTCAGGTAAAACATATTTCCAATTGAAACTTGTATTAAAACCACTGAAAACTGATCCGTGACCATTTTTAGCAGGTTTTTTTGAACTTGGTGTAATATTAATTAAGCTATTTGAAATGTCAACTAGGTTTATAATAGGAGACGCGTAATATACTAATTTATAATATCTCCTCATCATATTTCCAAACAATGAATCTAACATAACTCAAACGTTGCTTACACATGAAAATCGTATCATAATTATTCTATTAATTTCTATCCCATGATTTGCGAACTCCCTGATAATATGACTAATTCGTAAACTGTTATTATCAGTTTTAATTTATCCGATTCTATTAATAAACTTTTCCGCATATAAATAACTCAGCAAATAGCGTAATTCATACACGACAAAACTGACATATTTAAACAATCTAATTAACCTCAAACAATAGGTTATAGCAACAACATAACGATTATTTAAATTTTCCCAGCGATGAAGTTATAATCAACATCCAGGTAGATCCCGAGGGCGTTCCAGTGAGAGAGATGAAATCTGCACTATTATGTGGAGTTGGTAGGTATATACTACATATAAAGAGAACTATATTAGGATATTTTTATAAAGAATTATTATATTCACATCTTACACGTCGGGAGTATTTAGTTTTAAATTAATAAACTAAAGCTAGTAGTAATATGATCCGAAAAATAATAGTTTTTAAATATTAGGATATTGTATAAAGCCAAGACTAGCAGAATCTGTCACAAGTAAATACTACACATACAACAGAATCACTGTTTCAATAAATATTCCGGGCTTATGAGAATTTTATAATTTTAATTTAAGAAAACTGATTCTTTCAAACAGATAGTGTGAACTTCACGAGCTCGTCAGAAGTGACCTGGGACTGGTCATCAGAGAGAGCGCTACCAGGGACCGAAACTTTGACTGTTTGGACAACCACAGACCTCATGGGACCTCTACTAGCTGTTAGTATATATTATAAAAAATAGTTCTATAGCACAAGAAACCAAAAAACAGGGGTTTAGGTCGATAATAATGTTCGCTTAAACTTATCTGAAAAAAGACTCCATAAATGAATAGATAAACTGACTAAAACACTATATCTTCGAAATCGCGAGTGATGTATTTGATTCAGATGTTACGTAATATGTTTTATCCTAATATACAGGGTGACTGGTGAATTACTATCAATATTTAAGGAGCATACTCGGTACATGATTCTCAGTCGAATTATGTAAAAAAAATAGGTACTTAATTTTTGACCAAATTTCCGTATAAATAAATAAAGTGTGTACTCATTCCAAGTGTTCCTAGTGTGGACGCGTGCGGTGGCGTGCTGATACAACAACACGCCGCCGCGCGCGTATGTGTGAGTGTGTGTGTATACCTAATCTGTAGGGTGTTCATACGATGCGTAATTAATTACATAACTTTTGGTTAACTTTACTTAGAAGTTAATTAATATTTATGTTATATTAATTTTTATTTCGTCATATATGATCGTCAAATATCACGTCCTCAAATATCGATAGTAATTCACCAGTCACCCTGTATATTTAGTAGGACGTGTATCTTGAATCCTCAAAATTCTTAGCATGCAGATGGATTAGTGGATCTCCCGCGAGGCTGCGGCGAACAGAACATGGCCCGCCTCGCCACCGCCCTGCTAGCACTGCGGCTGTTGGATCCACACTCACCCGCTGCAGACGACACGAAGGATCAAGTGGCTAGAGGTACATACACATAAAAAGACAAACAAACATACAATCATAACTAAGACTATACCGCAGAAGTCTGCAAATATACTACTGATTTTTAAACAACATTTCTTCGATATCCAAGAGAAAATACAATATATAAACTTAGTATCTATTTGAGTTTATAAAATTTCTTCGTCATTTCTATTAACCCCTACTGAAGAAGTCTGCATATATAATATTGATTTTTAAGCAATATTTCTTTAATACTCAAGAGAAAATGCAATATATAAAGTTAGCTTTTATTTGAGCCAACAAAAACTTTTCCTAGTGGCCATATTGAACTATCTTTGATATATAACCAATCTAGTAATGAATCCCCAGGGTTCACCCGTCAACTGCAGTACGCTCACGTCGGAGGAGGGTTCAGTGCTTTTGGTAAGAACGATCCTACTCCCTCCACCTGGCTCACGGCGTTCAGCTTGAGATATATGAAGAAGGCTTACGAGGTAAGATCTTTAGTAACATCTTATTATATTCTTTATTCTATATGAGTATCTTTTATTGACAAAGGAATAATATCATGGCAAAGAGTACGAGATAAGAAAAAGGATTGGAATAAGTTTCCATCTGATTCATTGAATTTCATCAAAACTTTAAATTATGTGGATTCTGTCAATGAAATTTATGTAAAACATTCAGTTGTTCCTATTTTTTTTTGTGTTGAATAATATAAATTGTTAGGTAAATGGAGCTTGGTTATGTAACGTATATTTCTTGTAATCGCCATACTTACAGGTCATATCTGGGTCTAGTCCGCTGCCTCCAGTGTTAGAACTATCTCAAGCCTGGTTGCTCAACCAACAACTCGAAAATGGTTGTTTCAGAAACACTGGACACGTGTTCCATCATCTGCTCAAGGTTTGTGAGAAAAAATGATTTTGAAATAACGCTATCATATAGACATACGAGATGCTAAATAAACATATAACATTCTGCTTTTAAAGACTGCAGTTTTATCTCCAGTTATTTTTGGTTTAAATTATATGTAATACGATAATCACAAATAAATGAGTCACTTCAAACAGATAATGAAAAGTTTATTTGAGAAACAAATACTCCAAGAAATACAAATTTTCGTTGTTATAATTAAATAACTGTAAAATAGTTTAAAAGTATAAAATAAGATATTTAACTACATTTCAATGAAACTTATATTTTTCGGATTACTACGTATTATTTTGTTATTTAAAAGAACTACATACTCCCGACGTTTCGGTTATTTTGCAGCAACCGTGATGACTATGATTTTATTATTTTAAAAATATTAGTTTCATTTAAATGAATACTCGCAAAGTTTTAGATCTATTTATTAAACTAAATATTTAAGAAATGTGGTAAATACTCATATGGAGTAAATCTTTCATCTCTAGGGCGGTCTGGACGAAGGTGGAGAAATAGCTAATGTGGCCCTCACAGCTTACGTCATTGCCTCCCTCACAGAAACCTCCCTCCCTTACAAGATCCTCAACAATTCCCTCCCATGTCTCCGCGCCCTCGTACCCATGAGGACCAAAACTAATTCAAGAGTATACGCACAAGCCTTGATAACTTACGCGTTCATGAAATTGAGGAAATATGAGGAATTAGGCAATGATACCTTGATGGGGAGTTTGGAGGAAGATTACTTGAGAGAACTGATCGAGTTATTAAGGATTGCTAAGAGGAGTGGAGATTTTGTTTGGTGGGAAACAGGTAAGTCGTATGTTCTAAGGAAAAATCGTAGCTAAATTATGTCAAAGCTTACCTTCATACGTCGTGAGCGAAATACAATAAATTTCATCAATAATGTAAGAACAAATTAAGAATTTTCTATTATTTTATGAACAGTACCAAATTTATGAATATCTACTCCAAGAAACATATAAATAATAATTATTTAGTCAAAACACAAGTGTTTTTAACTTGATTAAGTCGTACGTAGAAAGAAAAATCCTATAAATTGAGAATCTATAAATTTCAATTAACTGTTATTTCTACTTTGTCTCTTTTAGTAAACAGTTTTTATGCAATACGAACATGAACAACTTAAGAACGGCTTAAAATTTAACATTACAATAATACACTCAAACTGAAATTAAAACGAACTAAATTACAACTAATTTAGAGCTTCCGAACTAAATTACAACTAATTTAGAGCTTCTTAATCAGATGACACTTCATAAAAATCTTACAGTCTGAGATTTAACAAAAACTTAGATTTTGTCTGGAATAAAATATTCTATATAAAAGTTTATTCTGAGTAATTTGGCAGATAAGGTGATTTATTTCGGTGGGATTTTTAAATAAAAATAGACACTAATTAATAAATCGTGTCAACAATCAAATAGAAATGACTCTTCGTAGTTTTGAAATACTTCTGTTGTTCTGGTTTAATATGATTACTCACAAGGACCTTCTTCACTGTTAATGATGTAATCATTCCATCATTATGTAAGCTAGTTAACGCATGTTGTCCCGGAAATATTCGGGATTCTATCTCGAAAATAAATTGTACAAAAAATAAATTAACTATCCATAGAAAAAAAATAATTAAATACCAAAGTTAAGATTAATCATAGGTCGAAAACCAAACTATCGAGAAAGAAAACCGTTGACAAACTTGGTCAAGATGTATCTTAATCACGAGTTTGTATCATAATCTAAAATCGTTTACATTACTACATTAATATAATTCGCCAGGATTATTTTGTACGTTGCAAATTCCACGAAAGAGCAGTTATTAATCTACAGCATACAAAACATTCCTTAAATCAATAACTGCGTTTAAAAATCAGATGTTTAAAGCGTTGTTATGAACCAGGTAACCTAGCTACATCCATCGAGGCCACGGGATACGCTCTCCTCGCTCTATCTGAATGTCCGCCGAGGAGAGGCTGCGAGGTCGCTGCAGCCGGCTCATTGAGATGGCTGGCGGCTCACAGAGGAACTACAGGCGGATTCCTATCCACTCAGGTACATAAAATGAGACAAGGAATACACGAGAGTATACGCAAGAGTATTCCGTATACACGAGAGTATACGGAACCAACCAAAATATAAGATACATACATAGACTATTATTCAAAGATAGATTAAACAAAGCATTATTACTGTATATTATGTATTCATTTGAATTATATTAGAAATGTTGATAGTTTTAAAGCTTTAAAGCTTTATTTAGATATTTTTTTGATACACAATAAAAGCATTTATATTAAAGTGTTCTACTATTTCATTATTCTACTAACAATAGCAAAACTTAATACATTTTATATGATTCTAAAGTAATCATATATTTATAAGTAATATTGTTGTTCGTGAGTGAGGAAGAGGGTAATCTTTTTTATGAATTACTTGTCGTTCACGTGTGACGTCATATCCTATCGGAACGTGCGTCTGTTTGTAATATATCATTAACATAACATTTGCCACTATCATAATATACACACAAAACATATACATATATTTATATTATAGAAACATTGTTACGTCTAAACACAACTAAGTTTGATAATATTAGTTCTACCAATAAATTATCAAATCTAAAAATTGACATAACTTAAGTGTTTATTGTGACTAAAAGTAAAAATAACACGAGAATCTTTTAACAAATAAACCTATTCAATATTTTATTACGATAACAACCAAACTATATGCTTAAGTTTTTTCTATTTAAAATATAATGAAAATTCATTATTTTTGATCAGGACACGTTGGTGGCCTTGGAGGGTATGTCTCGTTTATCCCCCCTTCCTGCTGGGGGGTTGGTGACACTACAGTCAGGTGACGACACGAGGGTCGTGACCCCTAAAGCCATCCCCGAGCTGATGAAGATGAAGGTGGACCAGCTGAGAGTCGCCGTTGAAGGTCATCAGCTAGCATATAGAATATTTTCTTGTATACATTATAACACAGGAGATTTTCTTTCTTGAACTAATTTTGTAGCATGATCTTTTGAATTTTTATCAATTAGTTTTTTCTTTATGATAAGAAAGTCGCCGAGGAATTTCGTACACTTGATATCTTTTGACATTCGATCAATTTAAAAAATAAAACTTTTTTTTACATACATTTTGTACATAAGAGATAGATTTAGTCATAAAGCATCATATCTTTAAACAACATATCGCTGTCTTCTTGATAATGAATATATTATTAACAATTTCAGGCCCCGGGTGTGCTCTAGTTCAGGCCACACATAGCTACAACACTCTCGAGCCACACGAGCACCAACTCGAGCCGAGCTCTCTCTCCGTGCACACAAACGTACAAACCGACGGTCCCTTCGACTGTGTTAACGATATCTGCTTCTGTGCCGCCATCGTTAAGGTAATTATAACTTAAAATCTATACTTCTAATAAATCTATAGAAAGGTCAATTCTGTATATGAAATATATTTTCATAATAACTATTAGGGGGTGATTAGGGATATATTAATGCTAAAAATGCAATAAGATTTTTTCTTTGCGTCTGTCTGTATATTCCTTATACAAACAAAAACTAGTCAACGGATTTTAAAGAAACTTGGTACAATTTCTTCATACTCCTTGGCAGGTAATAGTATTATAATATATTTGTAAAATATTTTTGTCACTACAAGGGATAAAAAATATCCACTCATTTAACCAGTGTAATGTTTAGTTCATTATATGTATTTATTATTATAAAGGTTTGTGCATGGTGGCGCGGATCTTTACCCGCCATGTCCGTTCTATCAGTGACGATGCCCACGGGCTACACTCCAAGCGCTACCCACCTCTACTCACAACTCAACAATCAAACACGTAAGACTAGTTATAATCATATTTAATATTAATTTAGAATATATTTAATAAGTATAACAAATATAATGTTTTACGTAAAAATATAAATCGAGTAAATATGGAATACTATACAATTTTCGACGTTTTTGAGAGCGAAGATATTTGAAGTTTTGATCAATAAAGATGATGTTGTTAATATATAATAATTCTAATATAATTTTAATATAATAATAAAGTCTCTATAAAATTCATATAGTGAACTCTGGAATGTGAATGCTATTTCCATCTACTCTTCATATTATCAAGATGACGCCAGACGTCCGTCTCAATTATACGACTACATTCAAAATACGTATGAAAATAATGAAATAGTTATCAAAATAACAAAAACCACATAACCAGAATAAAATAGCAGACAGTAGAATAATAATATGAAAATGTAATATATAAAATTTAAATCTCATATGAAAATGCTCGTAATAATTCCGTAATCAACTTGCTACTTAAAAGCCCATTGAGTACAAGTTTAATGCTCCGTTTCATTTCAAAAACATGAAACCCTTTAAAGTTTTTCATCCACTCGTTCTTCATACAACGGTTTATTAATATTACATTCATTTTAAACAATGTTTATTATATATAAAAATAATAAGAAAATACGATATAATTTTCGTTTTTGAAACTAAATTTCAATATTCATATGAAAGTTTTTTAAAATAGAACTAAATAAAACAGATGAAATTAAAAATTCATGTTTTCCACGAATAAAGTAACATCTTTACCTAAATTCGTGGTAAGTTTTAATAATAATTTGTAAAAATAAAACATAAATTTGAACAACAATGGCAAAAGACTTTAATCAACGAAATGTTTTGTATACCGACCTTGACACGGTTTTTTGGGATACGGAAAATGAACTACATTTAATATTTAATAACTTCTCTTTAAAATTATTATACTATCTATGTTTTCGTATTTTAGTACAAATGAAATTAATCCAATTCTCATCGTGAGCTTTTAAGTTTTAACTCAAACATGATATAGACTTCTTGATACATAAATATATCTTAATAGAAACAATAGATTTCGTGTTTTTACTTAAATAAAGAAAGTTTTTAAGTTTCAATGAAAATACATACAGATCAAAACAGACAATTCTAGCGCAGTAGGTCACCGCTGTACGATTGACTTTCAGCCTTGTTTCAGTCGGAACAGTTTTTCACTTTATGATTTAAAACACAACAGGAACTGATTTAACAATGTAACAATATTAAAAGTTTTTTACAAAGTTACGGTGTATTCACAGTATTCTAAATATTACTTTTCATAGAGAAGTTGGTTTTTTTAGCAAGAAAATGAAATGATAAAAAAATCTTATTGTTTTTATTTATCTAGAATTAACCAAAAATTTTGAAGTGTTTTAATAATAATAATAATAATAATATTTATTTCAGACATAAATCCAAAACCATTACACTGGTTTTGTGTGCGTCAAAACATTTTTTTTAACTTTTTATTTCTATAGTAATGAAAGTTTAATCTCGTCTGCCCATAATCACGGTCGCTGAAAAGTAAACAAACGAAACTAACATAAAAGAAAACGAACGGCAACAAGTAGAAAGAAAATAATAAAAAACACAGCTATCCGAAAAACCTAGTTAAATTTTAATATGTACACACAAAAATCTGTGACATCATATTACATTAATTTTAAGATATTATCACAATATGTAAATAAGAAATTCAAACATATTTACATATGTATAAAATTGTCTCCGGTCGCAAAACTTCTGGTGTTTATAAATAAAGTTACGCACAAGTCCACACGGATGTAACCTACATACAAGAATACGCGGATCACTCAGAAGAAATAGATATGATAGGTAATGATAAACATAATATTAAACAAGAATTGGTTGATTATGAAGAGCATTTTCATATGTTTATATGGTAAGAATAGAATGGAATATGAGCTAAAGCAGTTTAGGAATGACTAATCAACACCAAAAAAACCTTCCCATCAAACCCACTATCATATCACTCAAAACATATTATCATGTTTATTCATTTAAATCAAACTAATATTTCGTATTATGTACTATTCGTTATTTTATAATTTAAACTACATACTACCAACGTTTCGATTACTTTGCAACCGTTATCACGAGCAGATCTCGTCTGCCTAGTTTCAAAAATAATAAAATACGTATAGTAATCCGAAGATATTAGTTTCATTTAAATGAATACTTGCGAAAAATCTCATTATTATCGATTTTAGGAAGGAAATTTAAATTTAATAAGCCACTGATTTAAATGAATACTATACTATATAGTCTTAGATCTCATGTCTATATGATCACCAGTTCTCCGTCGTGTGGAAATCTCGTCTGCAAGCAACAAGGTGAGTATGTATCTTGGGACACGAGATGCTAGCACCAGCACAGACGGCCAGGAGTGTTATACACTGCACCTCGTGGGACCGAGACTTAAAACTAAGCCAGCATACGTCGAAATCATTGACTACTATCGACCTCATGTCAGGGATATACAAGTAAGTACAAAACATCTCAAATTTTGGTCAAAGTACAATTTCAAGCATGATTTTTATGTTCAGAGTTACTAACAGTTGTCTTATGAAATTTTTGAAGCCAGTATTTATATTTTTTAAATATAGATATACTTAATGTTGCTATTACAAAATTATAATCATTCAGTATAATTAACTATAATTAGTTATAAAAATAAAACGAAGTATTATATGTAGTTATGTATAATGAGTACGGCACGAATAACGCCACTTGTAACAGCATATTATTAAAGACGTAAAAAATAATCACTTCAATTATTTAATTCTTACTTTCATCAGTACTATTAGCTATCGTGTTATTTACTTCAAAATAAATATACACGTATTTCTTTTAGATCAGTGGTTCCCAACTTTTTCTTGACCAGGGATCGCAGTGTATAATAAAAATAAAATGAATGACTAAGAAAATAAACTTTAATAAAAAACTCAATGTATTTTGTATCATCAAAATTTTTTATAAAATTTAAGAGTTTTGAATTCGTTCTCGGACCACTTTTTGAATCCCGCGGACCATCGGTTGGGAACCACTGTTTAAGATGTTCAAAATGTCATAACAATAATTATTATTCCTATTCTATACTTCCAGATGTTTACAATCCCAGAGGACTGTCCTCCAAGGATAGCTCCGGACGATTCAAATCAATATCTACCCTCCGATAATTTATTCAGCAAAGCGAAGTCTTTAGACGGTGAAGACGTAGTCATATCATACGAATATACCATTGACGATCTGCCAGAAGGAATACCGCTTGAAGATCCTATATACGACAACTTGACCAGAATTAATAAGATTATTGATAAAAAACCAAACAAAGATGTCTCTAAAAATATATTTAATGATAAATTAACAAATAGTACTGACGCTACCAATACTGGTAGGACAGAGGAATTAAAGAAGCATAACGAGAAGATTCAAATGGATTATGAAAGAAGATCAGATGATCTAAAAGATAATACATCAGTAGTTTCTCAAGTAACTGCTCAAACTCAATCGAGTGAGCCGAAAGAGTCCTTGAATCCAAATTTATCATCCTTCCACGTTATATATAGTGACCAGGACTTGCAAGTACCGTCGGGGATCGAAGGTCCTGTACCTGCTATAGTTCTACCACCGCCTGAATTCCTCGCTAGGAACAGAGGTATATATACCATGCCTACAAAATAATTTTCCAACAAATATGAAATTAGTTTCTTACTGTCTTTGTATATAAACTTCTTGCTATCCTAATCTTCTTAATTTAAAGTTACGTCATTAGTAAAATAGACTTAATGAAATCACGCAAGAAAATGACGTCAAAAACGAGAAACTAACATTAATATTTTAAACGTAAAACTTTCTTATAATTAATATTAAATTACTAGTTTTTGCCCGCGACTTCGTCCGCGTTAATTTCATCATTAGTAATATATGTATAGCTGACCGGGCGAACTCTATTCCGTCCTAGAGGCCATAAATAATCAGGTTTTTCCTGTTTCAATCGAACAGAATGATTGACATATTAGTTAGTTGTCAAATCTAATGTCAAAGAAAACATTTGTATGGGAAATAGAAAAGGGCTGTTTTTAGGGTTTTTTCCGGAAATAAATCAATTTTTCTCACCTTTTATACCTGTCCTGAACCTCCACGAACATTTCAAGACTAAGATAAGATAAATCCGTTCAGCCGTTCTCGAGTTTTAGCGAGACTAAGGAACAGCAATCCATTTTTATATATATAGAAGATGAACATTTTAAAACATCTATAATTTATTCTAGGTACCAGCTGGGGGGGAAATGTCGCCGCACCGTTAAATCCACAATATCTCAGAGAAAATTATTACAAAATGAATTATCTTTACGACGCCATGAAGCGGAAATAAACTCTAATATATGTATAAAAATACTGACATAAAATAATACCTCTTCTTCTTCAAGTCGTATTGTTAATAAGACTGATTCATGTTGTTAACGTATTTTGATGATTTTTTAAGCATTACTGTAACCTGTTTATAACATTAGTTAAGTTAAATTATTCTTATTAAATGACAGCGAAGTTTTTAAGGCTGTGAAATAAATTGCAAAATGACGTTGTTTTATTTCGTTCGGAAATTGATAACGCGTTGTTCAACAATGACTCCCAAAGATAATGTTATCTCATGTTACTTTAATAAACAAGCTTTAATAATTTTACTTAAACTTTGGAAAAAACTTTTTATGTACAATAAGTATTAATATTACTCTACATATAACTTGAAAATGAATTTAAATAGTTTTAGTGCTTTAAATATTTATGTATGACTAATATACATGTTTGTTGTGACGCTTAAAAACAATGAAGACACCATTTGTTTCAAAATTATGTAAATAAAATGCGTTATATTTTTACGTATTAATTAACTCTGGCCTGAGTCGAGGGGCGACTCGTTGTGAGTCACCGCGTCGCGTCACTCGCCTTTCCTTGTACGTGTTTCGACATATTATCTGTCATGTATTGTAAAAACTAGTTATTGATACAAGTTATACTATAAATACGATGTATGAGCGCCATTTTAAGTTTAATAGTAAATTTTCCTACTAAATATTACTGCAAATATTATTATACATATACAACCTCATTAGGAATGATTTATGACTCACGCATGTTCGTTAAAAGATAACTAATTTCGAGAGAGAAAAAAATAAAAAAATTGTTAGCAACATTTTAATATATATTTTTATTCAAATGAATTCAATCATACATTACAGAATACTTGAATTTTAGTGTAGTTTCGTTTTTTTTTTTATTAAATTATAATAATAATTACAAAATAAACCTCGACGGCATTCTGTTACATATAAAAGTTATGCCTTTTTTCACACTCTCAATGCCATCACAGGGCCTGTGCCTACCCCATCACACCGAGTTCCTTGAGCAATCCTCCATGTGTCAAATTAATGAATATATTGTGCTCTTTGCCCATAAAATTCATGTTAAAGCTATGTGGACAAGTTGTTTTAAATTAACTACAATTAAATGCACCATTTGAAACCCCTCTACTTTATCTTCAAAATTTTTCACAGCACTATTATGCAAGCAATATCCAGAACAAATATATGTATATAATACTGATCTCCGCTACAACACCGGATGGACAAAGCATTATTTTCTGTTCAAGCGATAGTTACTTTAATATCTCTGTAATTGACACTCCCCATACATCAAATCAAATATGTGATCCATTTCATATTGCTCACACAATATCTTTATCTTTTAAATGAAAATATACAATTTATTACATGTAATAGTCTGCTAGGGGCCCCGATTCTAATCTACGACGGTCCCGACCTATATAAAATCAATTCTCTATAATAACTATGACCTGAAAGTAATTTAAGGACTGTAATAACCACTTGGAAGCGGGCGACAATGAAGCAATCAATATCCTTCCTTAATGAGAGTAACAAAATGCAATAAAATTTAACAGTTACAATAGCGATTTCTCTATAATCATAGATAAATATGCGGCCGAGTGCAACCCTCGGTGCCAGTAAACATTTGAACAAGATTTACTCTTATGAGAATATGTACAGAGGCATGGAGCGACCGCTGCAGCTCAGAGCGCAGCGGCGGGACATCATTGGCTCTTCAACTCCTTACCGATAGTGTAGGACACCAGCCGAGTCCAGTCAATCTTACTGCGGGTCACGGGCAGCTGTCGTCGGAGCGCTTTGAACGTGGTGTCACTCATTGTCTTGTAATTGTCAGATATGGCCGTCTGATACGCGTTCTCCGCGTCACAAACCGACCTCACGAATTCCTTGGCGGTGGCCGCTTCGCCCGCGGCCGCTAGACTCGCGCGGACCTCTTTGGAACTGACGAGCTGGACGTTGCCGTCTTCGTAGTAGTGTACCTGGACGCGGAGCATGCCACGGAGCTCCGCGGCGCCTCCACCCACTGTTAAAGACCATACGGAGCGCCATCTTCCGTTCCAATAGTTCTTCGGCTGAAACTGATGGTCCTCGATGCAGGCGACGAGAGAAACGGCCCCATTCTCGAGGGTTCGACCCACGACTAAGCTCGCTCCGTGTTTGTAATGTTCGGCCACATAGTTTGTCAGCTCCACGTCCAAAGCTGCTCTCCAGGCCTCCGCCTCACGGTCGGGCTCATGAGGTTCGTAGTCGGATGCTTCTTTACGCAAATGGTCGTATTTGAAGGATCTTTTCGAACGAGGGTCGAAGAACCTACCTCCGCCGAGGTCATTATGGTCAGTTATAAGCGTGTGAAGCTCAGAACCTTCAAGACGCACGGGCGTGAGCTGATCCCTGTTGTATTGCGAGAAAGCTCCGCTCGCGCCTTCTTTTAACAAAGTATCGTTATTTAGCAGTACTCTGACGTCATTGAACACTTCGTTAAATTCTCCTGGGGGTGAATGTAGTATAAAATCCGAAACAATTCTCACTTTTTCCTGATCACTAATCACTTCGTCACCGTCCGCCGCCATTTTTGGTGCTTTTGACACTACCACAGACGAAACTACAGATGATCTCTGATGTCTCAACTGCTACCATCAACAAGACTGACAAATTACTGACGGATGCATATCTTTTCAAAGTCAAACTTGCTGTTAAAGAGATTTTATTATTAGAAGATTAATACACTAACAGGCAATTATTCAAACATTATAAATATATCATTATAAGAGAAGTTTATTTATTACTATACTAAAACTATATAAATAGAATGTGAAAAAAAATATAGTTCAATAGGAAGATTAAATTGCTTATTAAAAAGTTATATTATTGTTACATATATCTAATAATAGTTGTAATCATATTTATAGATATTCCCTGTTATTACATTAGTATATGTCATTATCTTTCAAACCTTTTGAAATGTCACCGAGGTTCTCCTCTCAGATGTCTGTCATACGAAGTTGTGTAACAAATTTTTCAAGAAATTGATTAATTAAAAAACCTAAACAATGCTGTTTTACAAATACTACGACACTCCTGAAGGTCAGGACATATATAAGAAAGCTTTCGTTACATCCAAATATGCAGCTCTCACAGGTCTTGGTATAGGAACAATGGATGTGTTGATGTATTCTCATCCAAAGGGTCTCTTTAATACGGCATATCGTTTTGGATACTTCATAGTCCCGATGGTGGGAATGGCTACGACTTTTGCAGTAACAGCTAATGCTGTACAGAACTTCAGAGGCAAAAACGACGAGTTGAATTACTTTTTGGGCGGCGCGGCTTCGGGTGCCGTGTTCGCCGTCTGGCAGCGATCTGGACTTATCGCACTGCCCGCAGCTATTGTTCTCGGAGTCGCGGCCACCATAAAGAAACAAGCAATCGACAACAACTACACCTTCTTCCCTCAAATCAAGTACTCTGCCAAGACCGCTGTAAACGCTAAAAGTGATTGGTCCTTGGTTAAAGATGTTGAGGAACTGAAAACATGGACCACAGGTTAGTTAACTGCACATGTAATGATAATATTGACAACATTTTACTCATTAAAATTAAAATAAATACACTATTTGCTAGCTGATACATACATAAATCATTTCATTTTCATCTTTGTAGACATCCTGACAGTAGATTATGCCTTTTATAATATATTTAGCAGAAGCTACTGAAATATGGTTGTGGTGGCCGAGAGGTTAGAGGCACCTTTCGTGCATGAGGGTGCAGGTTCCAACCCTGACAAGAAACAACATGATTTTTCTGAGCCATATGTAATTTCTAAGAGTACTCAGACACCACTGATAGATGGTGAAGGAAAACCTTATGAGAAAAACTGGACTTATACTTTCACAATTATATTTTTGAAATCACCAACCTACCTTCAGCAAGTGTGGTGATTAATGCTCAAACCTTCTCCATGTGAGAAAGAGGCCTTGCTCAGTAATGGGCTCTGATAGACTGATGATGATGATGATGACTCAAATATCTGTTAGTGACCACTCTCTCAACACAAATCCAACATCTCTTACTATTCAAATTAATATTTATTGAAATCTCACAAGTTAAATATGAATTATATTAACAAACCATTTGTTTTCAGGTTCAAAGTAATGTATAATCAGGGGAATAGAAGATGAAAAACGAGCATAGTTTGTAAATAACATCAATATTGTGATAAAATAAAAATTATAAAACATATTTGTTTTATTTTACATAATTCTATTTCAGTCATTTTACAGTTTTATTTTAATCATGAAATATTTTGCCAATGTCTATATTTTTAATTGTTTGACATATTATAGTCTTGAGTGAAAAAACACCAAAGAATTTGTTAAATGGAGTAAGCTATTCATTTTATTATTATAATTATTATTTCTTTAAACAAGAATAGTTTTTATATAGAATTATTTTCTGCTATAATAATGACAATTCAATGTATTGGAATGTCCAGTTTTATAGGAACAATACTTTTAATGAAGATAGCTTAAAAAAATGCTATTCTCATACAAAACCAAGGTATAAATTGTGTTATATAACTATAATACTCATTGAATTACTAAATAAATGATGTATATTAATTACTAGCTTTTGCCGCGACTCCGTCCGCGTGGAGTAGTGACTTCCGGCAGATTTTTGGTTCTTCCCATATAGTTCCCGTTCTTGCGGGGTTTTCGGAATGGTCGAGTTCCCGTAGAGTTTTCAGGATAAAACCTATGTTTTTTTTAAAATTCACAATGAAGTACTCTTAACCAACAACATATTTATTTGTTTATTTGAATAAAGATTAATATTATTATGTTGATACAACTTAAACAAATTATTTCGACCAAATTAGGTACCATAAAAACGGTTTTTGTGAGTCAATCTTAAAAGATAGATATATATCTATCTTTGTAAAACAGTCCGGGAGAGTATATACTGTCCCGGACTGTTTTTTAGATCATTAAAAGAGCTATCATTCTTTAATACCTATTTTTTGTGTATCTTGAACCGTTTTCACGGCGCACGCAACGGAAGGCTTCAAAGATGAAATAATTTCTCCCGTTTTTTACACATTTACCACTATATCTTTGCTCCTATTGGTCGTAGCGTGATGTTACATAGCCCACAGCCTTCCTCGATAACTGGACTATCCAACACAAAAAGAATTATTCAATTCGAACCAGTAGTTTCGGAGATTAGCGCTTTCAAACAAACAAACTCTTCAGCCTTATAATATTAGTATAGATAAACAGAGCAAGCTTTTGAGTTTTTCTTTAATGCAAATATTAAAAATTGAATAATTCCTATAAACACTTCCTTAAAGCCTATTTTTGTCAAAAGCAACATTTCCCATTCTATCCCATTTAATGATAGAAATTAGTTTTTTATTTTTGATTAAATCTCTTGATATCAACACCCAAGTTTACAATTAGTGTACAGTGATTTCTTTGTCTTTTATCTTTATAGTAGAATCCTTTTAAATTCATGAGTATTTTGTTGATAGAACAATTCATATAATGACTTGATTTGCCCTATTATTCTATATGTATATAGACATTTCTATTTAATATTTAAAATGATCTGTTATAACAAATTTTCTAATCGACGATAACTAAATAACTACTGCTTCGTTGAATATATTCAAAAACATAAGAAATTAAAGCAGTACTAATTATTTTTTAGACCGTAACAATTTACTTGTCTCAGCAAAAATAGGTCAAAAAAATGAACGAATTAATACCTTTACTAAAATTTTCTCACAATTCTCTATACTAGTATTTACATAATAACAAAGCAAAAATTTTATGACATAAAATACACATTTGAATATCAGACTACTAAGAAATAAATTAGTAAAATACTATTTGTCAAGAAACAGTAAATAAATAACTGTTCCAAGTGGCGCCATCTGTGCCGTCTTATAAGAAACTATAGCCTTAGAATTATTTTTATTTTTGATTATTAATTAATTATAATACTGGTCCATTGTAATTTTATATATAACTTGTATTTGAAAATTATAAATAGGAACTGGCTTTAGCTATTTTATACGACAATACTGGAATTATCACTGAACATTAAAAATCAAGTCTGAAACTTTACCTTGAACATAATGTGTTTTGTTTAAACGCAGATCATCGTAAGAGGGAAATCGAAACAATATATTAGGTTAATAATTTATTTCTTACAAAATCTAATCAAACAATATCGAATAAGCTGGTAAGAAAATGCTAAAAAATAAATGTTGTCATGGATAAATACTTTTAATATATTCCTTTAAATAAATAAATCTTTCTGTTCACGGGGGTGTAGTCTGCCGTGGGTTTAAAATAACTTATATGCTTACCACGAGTTAGCATACATATACTACACTCGGAGCGTATCTAGATTATCATTCATACGATCGATGTTTGTCTACGAAAAACTGTAAACGCAACGTTTGTAGTGTGAGCGTCCAAACTTGTGGTAAACATTATATGAAGATTATTATTGGGTCTTAATACTGGTCTTTTGTAACGGCATTCACACCCCTGCTGTTCACATTTCAAGGAATGTTAACATATAGAATTAATAAATAAATCAACGACAAAATAAAAAATAACTGTTCGAGAAAACTGATACGATTTAAATGCAGAACTCAATAAATTTTGATAATGGACTAGATCGAATGTATCTTATAACAATTAATGAGATGACTTACAAAGAACGTGATTGAGAACACACTTGTTATAGAAAATCTAGAAAAAGCTGGAAGAAAATTTGGCACAACCTCGATATATGAATATCAAAGATCTACAAGGAATAGACACAGATGATGATAGAATTATCATATAAATAACTAAACATACATTAGTATGACGAGAGCTGGACAAAGATTTAGGACTATTTATTAAGTTACATTCCAATAAACAAAATTGTAAACATGCTGTATATAGACATTCACATTAATACTATGCTATCAGTTCATTTAGAATTTGTCTTAATTGGTTTTTCTTCTTCTTCTTCCTCTTCTTCTTCTACTTCTTCCTCTATTTCTTCAATTTCTATTTCTTCTTCTATCTCTTCGTCCGACACCTCGTCTTCTTTCTGGAATGATGATATCATTTATTAAGTATTTTATATAAAGAAAGTTTTCCTGTAAAAATTACGAGGTAGATATTCTGAAACGGCTTGACGGGTTTTAATGAGATTTTATACTTTGTATATGAATACAAAGCAAAAGTAAACGGGTGGTACATCTAAAACATTTCTTGGTATGTCATAAAATAGCATACAGCCCTCAAATTTCAGTGTTGTATCAAGAAATCATAAGAAAAATATTATTTTTTAGGCCTGTTTCTATAAAGTTATGGAATAAAGTCGCGGGCAGAAGCTATTATCATTATTATATAGTTCTTATGAATGCGTTCACCTCAGCGTGATGTGTCGCCGCACTGGCCGTCGTAAAATCATCTTGAGATTCTGTAACGGGAAATTAAATAAAACAATACATTAGTACATATATGAAAAGTATTACATCGAACAAAAGAAACAAGACTTGAGCTCTCATATAACAAAAAACCGGAAGCTATCGATGGAATATAAATGGTTTTCAAAGTACATGAACAAAATCATATACATATCGTCTCTAAGCTTTCAACACCACTTAAATCTTTTACCAACTTTACAGGAGACAAAAACAACTGTCTACTTTAAACTGTGTTTTTTTCTTCTTTTGCTACTTAATACATACACTAGTTAGCGGTTAAGACATAATTATTATGACATTATTTTGACGCTTTCGGTCCGACGCACAATGTGCAGCTTCATCCAATTGCATTAAAATGTAGAAACTGCCAATTTTCGACTTGAGCGGTGTTGTTAGGATGATATGTGTATACTATATATGAGACTAATTTGCCTTTAAGTTCAATATAAGACTACTCAGTGAGTGTAATCTCTTATAGCTCTATAATATTACCTAAATCCCTGTCGGGTGTGTCCCTCGGAGCGTCTTGGATCAAAGACAAAGTGATCTTTCCGCTCACCACCAACTGAAAACATTCAGAATAAAATTAGTTTTTGTCCGCGATTTCGTCCGTTTCTTCTTTGTGTTAGAAGAATGAATAATGTATATTACTGTATGTAAGTAGATCAGCGACATCTATCGTGTTTTACGTGACTCTATGGCTGCCCAGAATACTTATAGTTTATATTATGAGATCTAAAATTGGTATAAGATCTATATGTTTCTTCTGTCTCAACTACTCTTTCGGAGAGTTTTATCGGAATTGTCATAGTATTTTACATGTACCACAAACCTCTATCAAAATTATACGTCTCGAAGTTTGGCATTAACAATATAAGTAGGATTAATATTCATGATCAATACTTACGGATGCATCTTTGCTGGGTTGTGATCTGTCTTCGAAGTCGCTGATGAGGACGCGAGACTGTTGAGGTATCTCCGTTTCCAGGAAGATTGATTGCACCGGTTCAGACTCGTGCTACAATGGGTGTTTAGAAACTTTGAATCTAGTCAAGAGTATACTATTATATTAGAATACGTTGGTCCCATTTTGGGCGAAACTTTTATAGGCTTGCTGTTTTACGAAAATGTGTGTTAATTTAAATTTCCACTGTTTATTTGTCATTTCATTATTAATATAGAAGACATTTAGTCTTTAAAAAATCAAATAAATTATAAGGTGCTGTTAATAGATGTCTTAGAAGTTAGTATAATTAATACTACGTAGGATAGAACTAATAGTTTATTGTAATTGAACCATTTGTTAATAAAGATTTTGTACGTCAAAGGTACTTTTAAAGATTTGATGATTTTATTATTTATTGTGTTAAAAAATTATATCTAACTAAACGTTCATTTTCTCCATGAAAGAAGGATAAAGGTTGAGCAATTTACACTGGTGTATAAAAATGAAAGATTATGAAGACAAAAATCTGAAAGTGACCCAAAATTATGTTTCGTCAATGTCACATAATTAGACCCAAGATTTTCGCTAGTCTTGGTCATTTAAATGAAATTTATATTTTTCGGATGTACTACGCGATTTTAGACGAGACGTCAAGTTGTCAATTACTGTAAAGTAGCCGAAACATCGGGAGTATATAGTTTTTTATCAAAAATAAGATCGCGTAGTACATCCGAATAATATGAGTTTCGTTCGTCAATGTCATTTAGGTCATTATGTCAGTCATACAAGGTCTGAACGATATGCACAGTGAGGTGCGCCCTCACCGGTCGTTGGGGTGGTACCACCCTCGGCGGCTCGACCCTCCAGGCGCCACCATCAGCGTGGTGAGCCGTCGTCTCCATACCTACCACCTGATAAGCTCCTAGTTTATTAACTACTGAACTATGAAGGAACTTCCTCCAGATTATTACTTTAATGTACTCTAAAACTTACCTTAACTACTTGATTTTCTTTGTCCGTAATTTCTTTATTCTCAACAGGATCCTCGTCAATAGCTTCTTCTAGAAGTTTCTGTGTTGATTCCGTCTCCTCTATTAATTCTTTTCGCTCTTCATTTAGGAAGTCCTTAGAGGCTTTGTTTGGAGTATTCGTTGTACCTAATTCATTTTCTTCCGTTAATTTTGAGTCATCTTGAGGCAAACTCTCTACTTCACTTTGAGCCAAAATTTCGTTTACTTCTTCAGACAATTTTTCCTTTTCTTCGGCATCTTTTTCAATTACTGGCGTTTCTTTATCAAGTTCTGCGTTTTCTTGTGTCGTAACTTTTTCATCTTTTGGCAAATCTTCTGATTTTTCTTCTGAGGTCACCAAATCTGATTTTTCTTCTGAGGTTACCAGATCTAATTTTTCTTCCTCTTTAATATTTTCTTCCAAAGAAGATTTTCCTTGTGGGGAACTATCTTGTGTTACAGGACTTGTTTCTTTTGTTTCTGGTTCTGGAGTTACTTCTTTATCTTTTTGTAGTTCAGGGGTGTTTTCTTTCGCTTCTCGATATTCACTCGTAACTATATGGACTGGTCCACTATTATGAAGAATTGTACCGTTTGTATATTGACGAGTACTATCCAGCGCTTCCTGGAAAGACGAATAGATAAATTACTATGTATTAATATTTATAAACAATTCTAATGACTACATTTTTCTACGTCTAAATAAAAAAAAATACAAAACAACACACAACGTCAACTACAGTAGCAACTAATATTACAAATGTATGAAGTAATCTTCTTAAGTACAAAACAGGATGGTGATCTGAGTACACTAAGAAATGAAATAAAAATTCAAACCAAAAACATAAAACTAAAAGCCATAATAAAATAATCTTTAATGCAAACACCTAGAACTACTAGCAGACTGTCCAACAATTTTAACTGAGCTATTAATAATGAAAGTGTTAAAAGATGTACTCCATAAAGAATTGTAATTAATATATTTTCAGTTTAGGACGCACGAGATTAAAAGTCAGAATGGTTTCTTGTATTATCTTAGTTTGTGTTAAGCTGGTAGCGTGGTGAAAGATGAGAGCAGATGAGAAATAAGAAATGTATGAAGATGGAGATATTATGAGAAAAAAATCATATACAAGAGTGAAGGCAACGAAAAACAGTGAAGTTAAATAATGTTTTTGGTAGATGAGGCACGAGTAGACAGAAGTCGATAATTAGGTATGGAAAATAGTTTTCAGTAATAAAATATATTAAGACCAATATTTCAGTTAAATGAGAGTGTGCCAAGTGCATTTTATACATAGGTCGCATCGATAACATAATGAAATTAACAACATAAACGAATTTAAATAAAGATAATTATGAATAAAAGAAACAACATAAAACCTATAAAGGATTATATACAAGGGATATAAGTTTAAACAGAACAGGCTGAGGGTACAGAAATAACAATGATAGAAGCTATCATGCAAGACCTGGCTTTGGGTGCTGGAAGACTCCATCTGCTGCCTCACCTCCGCTACCAGCCCTGATATAGCAGTGACGACTGTCGATAATAAGGGATTTAAATAACGGATCCTTTATTTATTAATATATAGGATCCAATGGATCTAGATTTATATCATTTATAAAGTGGATTGGATTAATTCTCACATTTGGATCACTTTACTAGGTCATTTTATATAGTTAAGGACGTCAAACTAATTTTATTAATTAGTTATTTCTTTGGTTGAAAATAAAACGTTAATTGTTATTCACGGCTAACTTTAACAAATACCACAAAAATGTTTATTAAATATCTGTCTAAGTATAGTCCAAAATATATCCAGTTACGAACGAAATTAGCATTGTACATTGTGTTTAAAAATTTAAAATTTTGCTATTATATATCCGCCATCGAATTGACAATGAAAATTGACCAAGAATTATATAAAAACAGACGAAGGACGAATACTCAAATAGTAGTAGAAAGCGTGCATCTTGGACGATGGCCAACGAGTGCGGTTTATGACGTTAAACAGACTACAGATACCATACATCACGAGAAGTTAATACATTATGATGATTTCTAGGACAATTCTTCACAAGTTATGGCATTAAATACGCGTAGTAATCGGAATAAATTTAGTTTCATTTAAATGAATACTCGTTAAAGTCTTAGATCTCATTATGGAATTACGTATATATCTAAATTTTGTCCAATAGTTTACAATAAGCCTATTTTTTTTTTTTGGAGTGTTTATTTTGCATCTCATTTTCCTTCACGAAAATCTGCTAACAATATTGTTTCTTTAATAACTAATTTCCTTTTTCATCTATAATTCCGAATTCTGGATAAATGTTCCCAGAACACGCTTCAAAAACATCAAATGCCTACATTTGAATATGTAATTATAGTTTTTAAACTCGTGCATTAAAAATATATATGTATATCATTGGCTAAACTGATCTAGGGAACACAAAAACAAAAACTATGAATGCCGTCACCATGCCTCAAGCGTTTTATTAATACAACTATGGACCTCTCATTAACAAGCGGTACCCAAAGTATATTTTAATAGCAGTAAACAAAAATACCGTATAGACATGTGCGATTCGATATCCCAAGTATGAATCAATGAATACGCCATACTATATGTAACACAATTCAGGACATTGCATATCATAAACAAATATAATACTTAAGAGTTGCCCCTATTAAGTTTGACAATCATATCTTCCTATATTACTACTGTTTAAAATCTTCAGTAGATGATGAATTTGTTACACAATCCAGATAGAAGGTCCCGGCCTAGATGACCCACTTATCTCCAAAGGATATCGAACCGCAATGCATCGGTACCGCGTTCCGCTGCGCTAGTTGGCCCACGATGCGTTGCATGGCGCGCTCAGTCTCCGCGAGACGGGCCCTCAGCGCAGCCAGCTCAGCGTCCCCTGCCACAATCCCTTATCAAACATCGCGTCTACCGATCATCCCCAAAAACCCTGCTCTTATATTTCTCCTTACTAACCATCAGCTTCATACTTCATAGCCACAGACAACTACCAGTCAAAATCCCAAAAACCGAATTTCGTTTTAATATTATAACAAATGGTATCACACCGTCAAACAGTTAATGTAAGTAGAAACTCGATTATCCGGCCCACAGTTATACGGATTCGCGATTATCTGGACTAGGGACAAGTCCGGACAAGAAAAATGTCAAAGCGTAAGAGAGTGGTTTTGTTGAGAGTGGCGTACGTCAAATGACTAGCAGATATTCTAAACCGAATTAACTTATTATTTTAACTCATGGTTACCAATTGCAAATTACCAAATACATATTGTAATTTATTTTTTAAATAAACATATAAAATTATGGTACTACATAAGAACAAAACCGTATTTTCTTCATACATTCGATTATCCGGATTTTCAATTATCCGAATGCCTATCGACAACAATTAGTCCGGTTAATAGAGTTTCTACTGTAAGTTGTTATGTTGAGTAAAATTGCAAATAAACGTGTTCGAGTGCAAGAAATATTTAGAAACGTAAGGTTCGAATTTTTACAATGGACATGATGTTTAAATAGTAATGTCTGCTTTGTAGTCACGTGAAATGTAGTTGTAAGGACCACAAGTTTGCACACTCTCATACTGTAGGTAGCGGACTCAGATTTTGAATAATAAACTGTAATAACTCCGTATTAACTTTGTCGCTACACACTTGTAGTAAGAGTGATGACGAGGAATTCAAAAATAACGTTTACGTTTCGAACTTCCTAAAGAAGTGAATTAGTCTGTTTTACACATTTTGATATTTTATTTTTTAAATGGTACAATTTAAGGAGTGATGTCCTATAGATTTTTTTTCTCGTACACAAAACTGGGAAATTTTAACTTGAGAACCAGTAGAAATTATATATAAGTAATCATTTTGAAAAAATCACACCATACCATGATATTAGCCTCTTGATCAATTTTACATCAGAATTTATTGTCACGCAAATTACATTGTAATTGCAAAGTGTATGAAATATTTATATACCTAATAGCTTTAATAGTTAAGGTCCACCATAATTCTGATTCCTTTGAATCTATGAATGAAAGTTCGATTTAGTTTTTTTTCCGCGATATACTTTAATGTTTCTGTTGTACGAGGCAGAACGAGCCTATTAATTATCTTTAAAAATCTCTATGTAAATGAAAATTTTATGACGGTTTTAGAAATTCAAGACTTTTTATCACTCAGCTGTTGTATAAGAAACCTCTTAGCATTCAATGGATTCACCGTGCCTGCTCCATCGCGTTGTAGTGAGAGGAGCTTCAACAGTGACTGTGACTTGTGACCCAGGTGTAGGTTTAAGGGGCCCCTTATCTAACGCCTTTTAAACGCTCACAAAGCTTCTCTCTCTCTTTCTAACCAAATTTAAAAAGAACCCACTAGGGCTACCTTCGAAGTACGTTCCAAGAATAAATTAATGTGATTTTTGAATCTATCTTTTATTCAATTCATTTCTGGTGTTTTGCGTTTTAGATATAAATATTATAATGACTTATACTTACTAGTGTCGGTTTCCCTGTGTCCTGATAGCGTGTGGAATGTATTGAGTATTAGAATATAAAATTACACTAGGATCAGGGTTGCCATTCACAAATATTACTCCAATTATACGTTTCATAGTTAATTAGTTTAAATATTTTTTATAAAAACTAAGTAAGAAAATATTATGATCCCAACTTGGGACTCTTCCGACGTGAGAATGGCAACAAGACGGCAGTTTTTAAAATTTTATTATATTATGTAAAAGTAATATAAAAATACTTTTAAAATAGAAATATTATTCTCAGATAAATAAACGCCACAAAATAAAATATAAACAATTAAAGAAACATAACAGTTATTACGCCATAATGTTATATAAAAGTGCTTACAAATTAGATTAAAAAAAGTTTGTTAAGCTTAGTCTCCTGACGTGTGAATGAAAGAATCTATATTGAAATCAACATTATTTAAACTACTTATTGTAACAAGAGTATTAAGTTTAATATGAAAATATATAAAAATGTGTTTTATCAAAGGTCATTGACATCACTTACCTAATTTATCCGGTGTTGTCCTCGAGTCGTCTCTGAACACGCGTCGACGGAATTGAGGGTCCGGAGGTACTGGGTCGTATGGGGTGGCCGCACGTTTGAACAGAATCTGGGAGTTCAACGATGATTGGTCAAACATACTTTTATAATGAGCAACCAGCTTTTAAGTGTCTTCAATCAATATATATCTTTGGATGGAAGAAGTCTGAGTTTTTTTCAGATTATTATTGGAAGAAATTTTCTTATATCATGATCACGACTTCAGCGTTATTGCAGAAAAATCTTAATCCAGAACAAAGGGTGGTTTCAGAAATTTAAATGAAACTAATATTTTTTGGATATACGACGCGTCCTCTTTTTGATAAAAACTACTTACTCCGACATCACGTCTGCTGATCACGGCTGCTGAAAAGTGGCCGAAAGGTCGGTAGTAAGTAGTTTATATCAAAAATAAAGTCGCCTAGAACATCCGAAAAGTATTAGTTTCATTTCAATGAATAAGACTCGCGAAAATCTAGATCTCATTATGGTTTCAGAAATATCTTCATTGTTAAGGTGATAGGATCCTTACCTTACTGAGGGTGTATACGAAGAAAACTATGATGCATATAGTGTAGATGGGCATCACGAATCCCATGGATGACTTGGGAGCTGGCACGGGGCCGCCGGGAGAACCCAGCGGTGGCCGCATACCCGGGATTGGAGGTGGCTATAGAATATAAGGCAATAAAGATTAATACCTATATAAAATTTCCATGTCACAATGTCAGTTACCGTACTCCTCCGAAACGGCTTTACTAATTTTACCAAATTTTATATACGTATTCAGTAGGTCTTAGAATCGGCTACTTTCTATTTTTCATACCCCCAAGTGATAAGGGTTGTTCACCCCTAAAATATATTTTATTATTTTTGGACGAAATATTTTGTTTTTATTTTTTTTATAATGTGCCATTAAAAATACATAAAACATTAAATTTTTACTTTTATATCATCAACCCCTTTTTTATATGACAAAATAACGTTTGCCGGGTCAGTTAGTATAGTAAACTTTAACATAACGTTAACCTAATACTGGAATTAATATTCCAATTTCATACGAGTTAGATATCGAACCTACGACCTAAGAATATCACGTTTTGTTTTATCAATTATGCTACCTTTACCTGAGTCTAAATATTGGTTAAAAATACGATAGATAGCGCCTCACGGTAAGTAGCAAATAAAGATTTTCTCTATAACAAATGATTTCTTCAGTTCAAGTGATAATCGATTAAGGTAAAATTTATATTTCAATGTAAGTATTACTTTTTCAAGTAGTTTTATAGCTTTCTTGTTGTAGACCGCATAATATTAATTTCGCTTGGAATTTACAATATTATAGAAGCTTTACTTACACATGACACCATTACAATTTAGTGACACTACGATTTTTTTATTTTGAGATTTAAATTATATTTTTTACAAATACAGACTTTTATAATTTTATTTAAAACAACAGTCACAATCTTGTTAGTTAAGCAATAAGCTTTGATATAATTCGTAAGCTCTCATTAATTAAAAGTTTGACAAAAAAAATATTTTTTGTGCTAATTTCTTTAACGACAGAACAGCAGATGACGTTGTTAAGTAACAGGAAGTCAATGAGTGTTTTTTTTTTGAAGATAGACTAAGAAATTAATTGTTGATTTATATTGTTTTGTGTCTTCTTAACGGGTTCACATAAAAATATCTAAACGAAATAAAAAAGACACAAAATAAATACTAATAATTCCTAAATACCGAGCAATGCACGCCTGTCCAGATAATTTATATAATATACAATTACATACCTTCTCTATCATTTCGTTTGTATATAATATATTATTAATATATATATTGAAGACCACAACCAGCGAAGTCTTGTTACTGACTAGTTTCCTATTGACATTGAGTATTAACGACTCGATCTGACCACCATCCGGTGATCATTTGAGACCTAAACATCACTCCATACACGAACGATTGAAAGTATTGCGACTGAACTACAATACACTCAATATATATGTATTCAGTTTAAAAGCTGTTTATTTATATTAATTATTTCTATTATATTGTTAAAAATAAATTAGTTTTGTTCATATATTACTTATGTAACTTAATTCGTTTACTTCGACTTGTATCTATTTCATTTAATATAATAAACTTTATTCCAACCAAAAACCTTATTATTATCGTGATTTCTGATTGTTAATAATTAAAAGTTATATTAATATTAGGTAATTTTTAATCATGTATTTTATATTTTGGTTGATTATCAAATAATTCGCAAATTCGAATCCTGATCTCGTCAATCTTATATTATTACGTATCAATGAATTTTTCATTCTACATATATTAGCAATGTAAGTATTATTCAAAATTCATGAGATCAGATATAAATATTAATAAATAAAATATTCCTAAGGAAAACTATACTAACAATTTATATATAACTAATTATAATAATGTCTTGTGTATTGTCTTAAGACAGTCGCCAGTCTGCAAATGGCCTAATACTATCAAAGATCTGCGTCATATTAAAAACTGATCCCATCCGTTCCCAGAATATATTAACCGTTCATGACTTCTGGAAATGTCGCTATCAACATTCATATTATATATACAATAATTAAAATAATAAGAAATCTGAATGTCTGTCCGTGAATTCTAAAGGGTGGTCCTTGGTTGCGATTAGATTGTTTAAGAAATGAACATACTGTATACAGGGTGACTGGTGAATTACTATCGATATTTGAGGACGTCATATTTGACGATCATATATGACAAAATAAAAATTAATATAACATAAATATTAATAAACTTCTAAGTAAAGTTAACCAAAAGTTATGTAATTAATTACGCATCGTATGAACACCCTACAGATTAGGTATACAAACACACACACATACGCGCGCGGCGGCGTGTTGTTGTATCAGCACGCCGCCGCACGCGTTCACACTTGGAACACTTGGAACGTGTACACACTTTATTTATTTATACGGAAATTTGGTCAAAAATTAAGTACCTATTTTTTTTTACATAATTCGAATGAGAATCATGTACCGAGTATGCTCCTTAAATATTGATAGTAATTCACCAGTCACCCTGTATATTCTCAACTAAATCATATGCTGCCCATACATTACCGAATGCATTTAGACTAAATTTTCAGTATAGGTTTCTAGTTTCATTAGAAGTCATTTAAATTTAATGTAAACTTTAATTAAGTGTTATATATTTTCATTTATACAGGGTGACTGGTGAATTACTATCGATATTTGAGGACGTGATATTTAACGATCATATATGACAAAATAAAAATTAATATAACATAAATATTAATAAACTTCTTAGTAAAGTTAACCAAAAGTTATGTAATTAATTACGCATCGTGTGAACACCCTACAGATTAGGTATACACACACACTCACACAGACGCGGCGGCGGAGTAGTGTTGTATCAGCACGCCGCCGCACGCGCCCACACTCGGAACACTTGGAACGTGTACACACTATATTTATTTATACGGAAATTTGGTCAAAAATTAAGTACCTATTTTTTTTACATAATTCGAATGAGAATCATGTACCGAGTATGCTCCTTAAATATTGATAGTAATTCACCAGTCACCCTGTATATTGGAATTTGTGTATCATAAGAGAAATTTTAAGATAGGTAACAAACACGAACAGATGTAAAATATTCTCAGCCAAAACATGTACTGATCTAATTTATTCAATAGATAACTATAACAAATTTAAATAAACTACAATATAAAATAAGTTTATACGTTTTGTTTCTATCTCTATATTTCATTAATATTAAGCCCAAGGAACATTATTGAAATTAACTCCAAATATGTCCAATCTTTTTCTGCTAGCTAAGGCTTTCTATGGAAAAGACATCCCAAAAGCTTTTCCAATACAAACACGATAGTGAACAAGTGATTAATATAATTACGATAAAGACTATGACTTGGGACACAATTTATAGTAGCCAATAGAAATGACAAAAAAAATCCCTACTAATATTATAAATGCGAAAGTAACTCTGTACGTCTGTCTGAGCGGAAAGCTAGTAATTGTATATAGCAAACAGAAGATTCAGTTAGTACATAAGTTTGTATTTTCTAAAATAATAAAAAAACAATATTTAGGTAATCAATAGAAGGAACACAACTTGTATATCAATTGTAAATGTGATCAAGTTTTAGCATAACTAATTATTGTAACCAATCAACAGAAAACGTCGTCAGAATCTGAGCAAATATTAAAATGGCGACTTTATTTTTAGCAATTTAGTATATTCCTCCCAAAACACTTCTTCTTTATCAAAGGAGTTTAAAACACATAAAAAAACTAGTGTGTAACAATGTATGTACATATTAAATTTGTGTATATGAAGTGTCTAATTGAGAGTCAGAACGTCCTCTCATTTGTATGTGTGTGAAGTTGACTTCTAGGTCGTAGAAGTGGGTCGCATGTAACAACTACATGTTCGCTACTCATTCTTTAAATAAAATAATCGATGGACATTTAAAATACGATGAACGAATTACATTTTTTTCCATAATATCTTCTCCAGTCATAATTTAACTTATTTTGTATAATTATTACTCCAAAGGAACTCGGATACATAGTAACAAACAATAAAGTAATTTAAAAAAATACATAAAAAGCCGTTAAATACACGCACTTTTAAATTTTTATTTAATCCAGAATTTAGTTTCTAAACGCTGATATGTATTAGAATTACAAAAAAATATCAATAATCATTTTAATATATCTTAAACATATTTTCTAATTTTTATATTATATTAAATAATTAAAAATGCATAAAAAAGACGCGAACGGTGTCAACCATCAATACCCTTTAGTATTACGTCACACTTTAATTCAGCTTTATCAGCATTTTGAAGCGCTGCCAAGCGCTTGTTGTATCACCTAACTTAGCTGTAACTGCATAAGCTGAAATGTATGTGTCGGGTATAAATACACATATTACATAATTAAGCGTTTTACAGCTGCTTTCGACGCTACATTGCATTGATCATAAATATTTTCCCGCCATTATTGTATATAATTTAATGCTATTCGTCCAAAACGTGGTAAAGTTATAATTAGTATAATGGTAGTAATTTTTGTTACATTTTAAACATCACTGCAACTTCAACTAGTGTTTTAATAGCTCGCATGTTATGTGCATGTTAATTCGGTCGCAAGATCACCGCGGACCAAAATAATGGCAATGACATCATTATTCAGTGCAAGCGATAAGCGTCGAGCGTTTTTGATACAACAAATAAATTTAATTATGACTTCAGTGTGGGTTATTTTTAATAATATTTTTTATTTCGTTTATAATCGTAGTGACTTAAATTTTTTAAAAGATGGAATATAAATTTATAATATTGCTTTATGGATGACATTAAAAGTTGGCAATGTAATTCGTTTTCATAGTTTACACCATACAATTGTTGGCTAATGTCGCCGCAAACGCACACATTCGCTTACAATCCCTCAGTTTGTTTTGACACCGGTTCAATATTAAAATTTTGCAATATTTAATATTAGTAACGGCCTTTATATATATCACATAAGCTCCGTGTTAGGGTTAGCGAAGCAGCGGTTACAGGTTCGTGAGGTGAACCTTCATTTGTTTTGGCCATTCCCAGCGAACTATTACCCTTCAACTGACTGACCTTAATGTCCAGATCGTAGTACACTGATAGGGGAGAGAGTGATCGTACCCGGACATGTGGGGGAAGAGCCACGGGCTTCGGTGGTGTCCCCGGCGGTGTGGGGGGTATGGCCCTACCCCGCTCACGCATCGCCGGGTGAGCTCCAACTCTTATAGGTGGCCGTTCCTGTTTCACAGCTACAATGACAAACACAATGAGGAATTATTAAATTATTCATAATGTATTTTACATACATATAGTTAAGAATCACACCCGGTTAGTCATTATACATGATTTGGTTATTGTTTACATATATTTTGATATCAGTAAATGAAAGCGGTTAATGAAAGAAAGTTAATGAATCACTCCTAAAAAAATGTTACAAAAAATATTCTAAAATATAATCAAAACTCATGCGACGATATTTCTACGTCACTTTATTATTATACTCATTTAAATAAAACTAACATTTTCGGATTACTAAGTTTATTTTGTTATTTTAAAACTACATAGTACATATTCTTGACGTTTCAATAACATTGCAGCAACCGTTATAACGGGTAAACGATATGAATAAAAAAAACTAATAATATAACGCACACTAATCCGAAAATATTAGTTTCATTTAAATGAATACTAGCAAGTTTTATATCTCATTAATATAAGTATTACTAATAAAATTTATAAATCTATTTTTATAGCATACACATAGTTACAACGCCTTTTTTAATTTTTACATCCAAACTTGATTAACGTTTTAATTTTAAAGCTAAAATTTCAATAGTTCTATAATTTCAACCATAACCGAGCCATAAATGAATACTCTACTTGTTCAACACTCACTATATATTGATATAATACATGTAATTTGATAATCTTATTCAAATATTATAAGCATCTTAAATGACTCATTCAGAACGGCGATCTCATGTTCGAGGCCCTTTAAATATATTTAGAACGAATTGGTGCCTTATTTGTTGTACATAATATTGGTTGATATTTTTTCCGTTTCAAAAATTATAAGAAATATAGGTGATTTAAAAAATATTTATTAATAAAAAATTCTTCACAAAACATATTTTATATACGCTACTAAAACAAAAATTTCGCATGTTATAAGATATTGGCTAACTTTCAAAAATAACTAATTTACAATCAATATTAAATACGAATATTCTTAATTTACTTTAATAAGTCATTTTTTATATTAGCTTCATGTTAATAATTATTATTTCTAACAAAAGTTTCTCCCGCTATCATTCCTGATATACACCACCGGATCAGTACGACCCACTTCGTCAATTGCCACATTACCTAATTTGTATAAACCCGTATGTTTTACCAAGGTTCGCTAAACAACGCCGGCGCATGTATGTAAAACAAATATGTCTGAGGCCAGACAGGCGACAGCATATGGTTTGATATTAGTTAACTAGATATTTGAACCGCTTGTCTTATTTATAATTATCTACACACAAATAGCTTGACGATTTGTTAACCAACCTCTTCTGGTTTAATTTCAATCGTGACTATAGTTTTAATCTATAATGTTTATGTAATTAATTGATTATAATTCAATATTTCCTTTATTTTATTGTTCATTATACGAAAATATATGTATATACATATAGATATAAATTCCTAATATGGATAAATGGACAATTCATTCCTTTATAAAGCCTTAGAGATATTTAATTAAGGCGTAAGCCCAAAACATTACATACTATATTTTTTGTTTGTGTTAAATCAAGCCCAATATTTTCTTTCTATTGATTTGATTTGAAGCTTTCTAATATTATATAACTATCGGAGTAAGTTAAGGTACTTAAAAAATATATTTAAATATGAATACTAACATTAAAAAATACAAAAAAACATGTCCGCTGAGCTGTACAAACATTTACATACACGTATTTACAATAAGATCTGTTCACTGTTCAACTGGGTTACACAATACAATATGTATTATGTAGTTAGTATGTATATAATGTACAAGTTTCGGACAAAACAATCATCAACACAGGTTTCACTTCATAACTGACTTTAGAGCAAAAGATTTGAGGATACTGTCTAAAGATATATTATTGTTGATTTATTATATTTTATTTTTGCTAACCAAAAATAATGAGACAAATATTAAGATAATCATTCGGTTAAAATAAGATTCAAGACTTCATGTATAGCTGCCGTGAGTTTTATTAAAATATACTAAGATAAACTTTTAACACGACTCCATGACATTTCACTTTGAATTCGTAGGCGTCTGAAAAAAATTTGAATAAGTTTTTGTCTCACGGTGTGTTGAGTTAGTAATTACTAATAACAGTAAATTTGGGTATATCATACCTATACAGGGTGACTGGTGAATTACTATCAATATTTAAGGAGAATACTCGGTACATGATTCTCATTCGAATTATGTAAAAAAAATAGGCACTTAATTTTTGACAAAATTTCCGTATAAATAAGTAAAGTGTTGACACGTTCCAAGTGTTCAAGTGTGGACGCGTGCGGGGGCGTGCTGATACAACACTACGTCACGACACGCGTATGTGTGAGTGTCAGTGTATACCTAATCTGTAGGGTGTTCACACGATGCGTAATTAATTACACAACTTTTGGTTTACTTTACTTAGAAGTTTATTAATATTTATGTTATATTAATTTTTATTTTGTCATATATGATCGTCGAATATCACGTCCTCAAATATCGATAGTAATTCACCAGTCACCCTGTATTTTCATCCAAATTCAAATAATATATTTAGACTTTATGAGAAGTAGCGAATGCCGTAATACTGTATCATTATAACTATTAAGGGAATCAAAAAAAACACTCAATTCCCATTATCGAAAGCTCTTTTATAATTGTTGTACTGGGTTCACCCAGTGAAAGTTATAGGTATATATAATTTATTTTTTGAAAAATTTATTCTACATTAATATTAAATCAATCCGCTTCCGCTCATGACTCGTTTTCCCAAACCAGCTGACCTTAGCAAGTGACAATAGGACGTTAATACTTTTGTTCTTGTATTACAAGTGAGGCCGCTTCAAACAAGTTGTAATGTTGCCTTGTGAAAGCTTTAGTTGAATATACTGTATTTGAGAAACATTTTTGTTTTTAACAATCTAACTTTCATAACTGCTAACTGAAATATTGAGAGATTCTGAAAGAAAAACCAAATGGAAGTTTCGTTCCGATCATTATTCTGAAATAAATAACTCACACTATTTGACAGTTTCGTAAAGTAATGTTTCGCGCCATATTTGACAACCGTTCATATATATTTTTACACAAAATCACTAAATACATATTATACATCGCGTCAATTATTTTGTACGTTTTATTTTCCATATTTCATTTAATGTAAATTTAGATAAAAAAACAACGATTTTTATAATGTTCAATACTAACTATTATGTACTGATAACTGTTAGTAGCATCCTTTATTTTTTCCTACATTATCCCATGTGTTACCGAATTCCTCGTAATTATACAACACGTGTCCAAATGAGGTCATAATGATGGAATATTAGATGGCCTTATTATGTAGAGTGAACACTTACTCAGTTCAGTGATTAAAATTATCTGGGACACATGATATAGGGATGTACGTTAATCCAATATATGTAGCAAGGTTAGTATTTGAAATGTATAGAAAATAAACGAAATATATTTCTCAACAAAATTATAAGTATGAAATGAAATCAAACAATTATATACATATGGTAACCTGAGTTTAAACTATTTACAATTATATAAAATAAGTTACTAAGTTTTCAGGTTTTTAATAATAGTCCAGACATTTGCTTGAGTATTTTGAGTGTATGCAAATGTTATTAAAAATTAGCTACAGATATTTCAGAAGAATATAATTTTTCAAATAAAATATTAGTGTAAGCATTGTCAAACTTCTGTTGGTTATTTGTATTAGTACTCACAAAAAAAGTATTATTTTATTATAGAAAAATTCAGTGTTAGTTCACATCATATATTACTAACTTTCTTTCTCTTGCCATGAGTTCACAGCAAAATGTGTACTCAGACTGTACACCGGTACACCAAAGTTTGTCCTCAGACAAGAACTGTTGCTATTCTTCAAGTTTTCCACTAGCATCTTGGTTGTTTTGCCGACATTGTCGCTACGTTTGACAAATGCTGCTATATCAAGTCCGCATGTATCATTGACAGCTTTAAGGCATTCTGCTGCTGATTGTATCCTATCTCCGAGAACTGGGTTGCAGACTTCATTAACTAATTCTAGTATGGCCACCTCCGTCTCAAATATCACTTCACAGCAGCCTAACATAACAGCTTAAATGTTACTCACAGAAATATGCCTTTTTAAAGATAGACAGAAAATACAATTTTACAACTGACAACAAATCATTAAATAATTCATAATAAAAAAACTTTCAAATTATAATTAATTAAAACTATTTGCATATTCACTATTCAATGTTTACAGTTATTTATAAATTTTGTTGTCAATAATATCTTAACATACCTATACATTTAACAAGTTTAACATAATAATTAGTGTACATTTTATGAAACAATTTTACTTTACTGCTATCTGTTATAAGAATTCCTAAATAATTTTGTCACATTTATATTTCCAAACAGATCGTTTTCTTTTCATATAAGTGTAATTTAATAATAAATAAATTTATTTTTACTATTACACTGCATACAGAGAATCACTTGGGAACATGACCCAAATAATAAGACCTTGAAAATTTAAATTAGGAATTTTTTCATGAATACAATTTTTTTTTATAATTCAAATATAGAACAAGTTTGATTATTTTTTTATCATTTATATATAAACTAGTTAAAAATTGCAGTGTATAGCAAACTTAGTATTCTGACGTGCTAGCCACATTCCAATCTGATCTTTAGTAAACATAATACTCAGAGTCAACAACTGGACCGTGGTATATTTGCATAGCAATATCTTGTTCTTGAGAATCGCAAACATACACAATTTCATAACTCGCTTCATTTGAATCTCTTAAAAAGGTATGTAATTATTTCTTAACTCCGAAGTAAATTTTGAGTTAAGACGACCAGAATTATAATTAGATCGAGAAGCGTAAATAAGTCCAGCGATATTGACATTGAGCTAAAATTAAAAATACCTATTTACCTGCCTCCCGGTCGAATTTGTTAGGTTTGAGGTGGTCCGAGGTGGTGCCCAGGATGAACGGAGACAGTATCCTAGGCCAGAGGACGGCGAAACATCCAACAACAATCACTAAAACGAACATCGTCTTCCGCGGCCCTAGCACCTCGTCGTTCGCCATTCCGTCGTTTTATCGTATCGTTTTGCACGCACGGAGCCAGTCGCACTCTACGGGAACATCGTCGTATGAGATATAAATAAAAAAATAACGTTTCGGCAACGTCCGTGGCGAAATACGGAGAAAGACGAAAGTGCGCGGTGACAGCTGTCAGACGCGGTCCGCAGTGGAGCGTAGATGGCAGGGGCGTTACGGGAGCGATCGAGTTTTCCTGCGGTCTCGGTTACGGGAGCGTCCGGCTTGATATCGACGAACGCCGGTGGATTGAGCTGGCTCGATGTGACACAGCCGTATATCACAGTCAATCAGCTATGCCGACATCTTGCCTTCCCAGCCACCGGCTCCGAGTCCGAGTAATTTGGAAGCGGTCACTGTTTAAATATTGACAGAGTGAATAAGCGTGTGGTTGAGCGTGCGGCGCTCGCGGGCAGACCACGGTACAATATGGCTGGGCGCGGAGGCGGCGCCGGCTATTAACCCTTCCCCACCGCGGCATGGTCTACACGCGCTCAGATGAATACCAATTAGAAATTCTTTGTAGATATTTGTCATTAGACAAGCACATGAACAATGAGGTACTCCCTTTACTTCGATGTACTTTTCCATTGAGTTCCATCGGAACCGTGGTCATTTAGCTCGGTCACACGGGATAGTGGCGTTTTAAACTTCTCATCAGTAAGTATGTTGCTACGTATGACTTCTACACTGAAGCTGAACCCTCGAGCGTTATGTAATCTACGGCTGACTTTCAGTTACCGCTTTTTGAAAACCAAATGACTACACCTTTAAATGTAATTTTAATATTCATTATAAATTCACAATTGTTGAATGTTTAATGATGTTATTGGTCCTTTTCAACAATGTATTCTGATAAACAATTTGCTCTAGAGATATCTATGTTGTTTCGATAATAAAGTGTAGTTTAAGGATAACTCTGCCACTTTATAGACGCGATAAGCTAAAATTTTAATGGACAAAACATTGAAGATATGAGTCATATTTTCGATAATTATGTTTTGAAATTTTCAGTGAATGTGTAAAGTCGCTATTCAAATTAATTGTGAACCTAAAAATTCATTTCGTTTTGTAATAAAACCATGATAAGTATATTATAGATTTTATAAACATATAATGTATTCGTATAGATAATTCCTATTTTGCATAAGTCGAAAGTTAGTATACAATAAACCCTATCGGGCTACGAATAATTTGGTAGCGTAGTTTAAACACAAACAGCGACAATTTAAACAGTTGTACGGCATCATTTCGTTCTTTACGTACATTCGGATGCGAGTCACACACATCCCCTCCAAAACAATGGTACGCTCCTTTCGACGCAGGAAACAGCGCACGCGTTCGTCTTACCAAACAACCAGCCATTTTAGACGCCCGTGGCTATGGAGACAGTTGCCTTAGAGGGTACATCCTGAACAACTTCCGCCCTGTCCTTTTGGTCCAGGAAACGCGTGATTCAAATTTAATTCACCAGTTTAATAACCCACCCACTAAATTTATATTTCCTACACGTTCATAGTTTTACTATGGCCACAAACGCTATTTATCGAACGGGTGTTATCAGACAGGAAATTGTACTTTTTTAAATATATAACTACATAAAATTTTGCTTAAAACTCCTCATACAATAACAGCCACTAATGGACATCATAAAAAAAGCATTTCTCTAGATTATTTTCCCAATAAATATTTATAGTCTGTAAATTTAAAAGTCTGTTCCTGAAATTATTATATTGATGACAATAAATGTCATGTTTTAATCTATGATTACATCAAGATAGTTGCTGTACCTTTTCTATGTATTAGTCCACAATGAAGATGGTTCATTTATAATTCAGATATCGTAGCTTGAATAGTCCAGGTACTGAGGGAAAAGAACGTTTTCTTTTGATAGGGGAAGGAGTCGATCATACAAAAATCAAAACTATGTTTTAACGTGCAGTAGTTTATTATTTACAACTTGATATGTCGTCATATCCAATAAAATAACATTGAAATAAAAACAAAAGGCGTTCTGATAGTAACATAAATAAAGTAGGACTAAATAATAGTTTGAAATCAAGTTTTCTCTCAATATTTCCTTTTATTTAAATGATGTATTATAAAAACGTAAATAAATAGTATTGTTTGTATTTTCGACTTTTCTAGTTTTCATTCATAATGAAATACCATGCACATGGAACTGGAAAAATCCGTAGTTTACTTAAATTTATTACTTAATGTTACTTAACATTGCAAACTTTTGGTGTGAATGGGAAATATTCCAAAAGGTAAGATAGACTTTGTTTTAATGGTAGCCACTAAATGAAGAAGATAATTGAGTTAATTTATTTGACAACAATTTTTATATACAAGAAATCAATGAAATTTGTCATTGTTATCTTGTTTTATTTGCATTTCATTATATTCCGTTCGAAAATTAGTCGAACAGATTAATTTCATTACTTTAGATTTGTAAGATACTCGTATTTAAACACGGTCAGATATAAGCAGAACAAGTAATACTAAATCTTAATTGTCAAAGAATGCTGCCTGGATTTATTTTATTTATCGCGGTAGCCGTGTTTCGACATTCCGCAAATTTAACAGCATTTCTAGTTTAGATTATAATTGCATTATCATAAGTTCATAAATACGACTTTAACTTGTCTGAAAATTCCAGTAGCAATCAAAATTCCGTCATTTGTAAAGTGCTACTGTTTGACGTATAGAATGTCATTGGTTTGCAAATTAACTTTCAACATTGGTGTGTTTCACACTGGTATCCTAACTATTTCTTATATTTATTTATTTTAAAAGAAAAGGGTTAATATGCTGGTAATGAGATAGTGCGTTCACCACCTACAAATTCATTACCATCTTTCACCAGCACTTCTTCTACCTGGCAATTTCCCAGCTATAGCCAGAGTCTGCCTTACATGTTGTGAATAGTTTTGGCTATTTGTTTTTACGACCGGCCGCCTGTCTGACATCAACCCCCTTTCGGAATTGTAACAGTCAAGCACTATCCTGCCTAAATTAAAAGAATAATAAGATCTAAGACTTTCGCGAATATTCATTTAAATGAATCGAATATTTTTGAATTATACTACGCGTATTCTATTTCATATTTTTAAAAACTGCATACTCTAAAAGTTTCGGTTACTTTGCAGCAATCACGTGATTATTATATAAATGTCAGTTGGAAAAAAATATATAATAATGTTTTTCATGTTAATAAATGTGATTTGAGTTTATCTATCTATTCTTCGGCGTATATTTTACTGACCTAAACATCCTTGAGCCTACTGGAAGGCATACGTCGAGTGCATTACTTTTCCTCCTGCGTAACTCACTCCTATAACGGCTTTTGTTACTTTTTTCATTACATAATTATAGTAAGAAATTGTAATGAATTAATAAGATTAATTCGTTAAATATTTTAAGTTTTTGTTTATTTATTTTTTCTTAATCTAGGTGTTTTAATAATCACATCTTAGATATTTCCTATGAAAATTGTTGAATATACATTTACATTAATTATATTTCACACAAAAATAAAATTACGAAGATTATATAAATATAAATGTGGTGAGGTAGAGAGAGGATCTTGTACGGTGGAGGTGAGCGATTAACGCGCGTTAGATAGGGGCCCCTTAAACCTACACCTGGGTCGCAAGTCCCAGTCACTGTTGAAGCTCCTCTCACTACAACGATGGACCCGACACACGCACCGTGAATACATGGAATGATGAGAGGTTTGTCTCATGAAGACAAGGTCTGCTTCACATATATTTTGATATAGTGTTGATAGAACTTTTAAGAGTTAAGTATATCCTTGGAATATTTGGAACTGGTTACATCATTTCACACTTGAAAATATAGTCAATGAAATACTTTATTTGTTGAAATGCTTAGGTTGCTCCCGTTATTTCGGACTAAAACTTAAAATATCTTTAAGAAAGAAAAACTATGAGATTATCTATCCTGAACAAATGTTTTGATTAAAAATTTATAGGTACTTAAATTTCAACTACGTTATCTATATAAAATTGTTTTAAACTATAGAATTGTTCTAAGCTTGTTTTAATCATTCGCACTATTTATAATATTGAGTACAGCGTGAAGGAAACACGAAGGAGTTTCTCTAACGGAATAAAGGCGTTTATATAAATATTTTTATTATTTTACTTAATTCAGACTGTTGTTGTATGTTAAAATATGTATTAATAAATGAAATATTCGTTTCACTTAAAGACAAAGTGACAGTTTTGATAAAAATATATACAAACTGCTTTGGATTTATTTAGATTTGTTTTTTTTTCGGTGAATTTTATAAATGCAATATTTTTTTTAGCCTTCTGATAGGCCACTGCTGAGTAAGGCCTCTTTCTCACATGGAGAAGGTTTGAGCGTTAATCACCGCGCTTCCCCAAGACGGGTTGGTGATTTCAAACTTAATTTTTTTTTTTGAAATTATAACTCCAGGTTTTCTCACGATGTTTTGCTTCACCGTCTGTCAGTGGTGTCTAAATATTTTTAGAAAGTACATATGACTCGGAAAAAAGTCATATTGGTACATACTTTTGCTCGGGCCAGGATCGAACCCGCGTCCTCGGCAACGAGAGGCGGTCCCTTTAACCACTAGGCCACCACTGACTTTAATTACTATATACATATTAATTAAAATTGCTCATCATTTAGTGTGACGGTAAAAGGTTGACAAAGAAAAGTTAAAATTAAAAATGCAAGAGATATTAAGCTATACAGCCAAGATATGAAGGAATGTTTGAATGGATTTAATGACAGATTTACATAAACCCATTATAAACGCTACGATTTATTTGTAAATATCTTATACTAGTTTTTGCGTGCGACTTCGCCTGCTTTAGTTTCAGAATTAGAAGTGTATAAGTGATCGAGCGAAATCTATTCCTCCTTAAACAGAGAACATAAGAGGATTTTGGATTTGATCAAATTTTTTTTCTTTTTGATGATGATGAAAAGAA